TGGCAAGTAAAGAAGTAGAGAAGTAGATAATCACTGGGAGAACCTGGAGTCAGCAAGTAGAGAAGTAGATAATCACTGGGAGGACCTGGCAAGTAGAGAAGTAGATAATCACTGGGAGAACATGGAGTCAGCAAGTAGAGAAGTAGATAATCACTGGGAGAACCTGGAGTCAGCAAGTAGAGAAGTAGATAATCACTGGGAGAACCTGGAGTCAGCAAGTAGAGAAGTAGATAATCACTGGGAGGACCTGGCAAGTAGAGAAGTAGATAATCACTGGGAGAATCTGGAGTCAGCAAGTAGAGAAGTAGATAATCACTGGGAGGACCTGGCAAGTAGAGAAGTAGATAATCACTGGGAGGACCTGGCAAGTAGAGAAGTAGATAATCACTGGGAGAACATGGAGTCAGCAAGTAGAGAAGTAGATAATCACTGGAAGAACCTGGAGTCAGCAAGTAGAGAAGTAGATAATCACTGGAAGAACCTGGAGTCAGCAAGTAGAGAAGTAGATAATCACTGGGAGAACCTGGAGTCAGCAAGTAGAGAAGTAGATAATCACTGGGAGAACCTGGAGTCAGCAAGTAGAGAAGTAGATAATCACTGGGAGGACCTGGCAAGTAGAGAAGTAGATAATCACTGGGAGAACCTGGAGTCAGCAAGTAGAGAAGTAGATAATCACTGGGAGGACCTGGCAAGTAGAGAAGTAGATAATCACTGGGAGAACCTGGAGTCAGCAAGTAGAGAAGTAGATAATCACTGGGAGGACCTGGCAAGTAGAGAAGTAGATAATCACTGGGAGAACATGGAGTCAGCAAGTAGAGAAGTAGATAATCACTGGGAGAACCTGGCAAGTAGAGGAGTAGATAATCACTGGGAGGACCTGGCAAGTAGAGAAGTAGATAATCACTGGGAGAACCTGGAGTCAGCAAGTAGAGAAGTAGATAATCACTGGGAGGACCTGGCAAGTAGAGAAGTAGATAATCACTGGGAGAACCTGGAGTCAGCAAGTAGAGAAGTAGATAATCACTGGGAGGACCTGGCAAGTAGAGAAGTAGATAATCACTGGGAGAACATGGAGTCAGCAAGTAGAGAAGTAGATAATCACTGGGAGAACCTGGCAAGTAGAGGAGTAGATAATCACTGGGAGAACCTGGAGTCAGCAAGTAGAGAAGTAGATAATCACTGGGAGGACCTGGCAAGTAGAGAAGTAGATAATCACTGGGAGAACATGGAGTCAGCAAGTAGAGAAGTAGATAATCATAGGGAGATCCTGGCAAGTAGAGAAGTAGATAATCACTGGGAGAACCTGGAGTCAGTAAGTAGAGAAGTAGATAATCATAGGGAGAACCTGGCAAGTAGAGAAGTAGATAATCACTGGGAGAACCTGGCAAGTAGAGGAGTAGATAATCACTGGGAGAACCTAGCAAGTAGAGAAGTAGATAATCATTGGAAGAAACTGTAGTCAGCAAGTAGAGAAGTAGATAATCACTGGGAGAACCTGACAAGTAGAGGAGTAGATAATCACTGGGAGAACCTAGCAAGTAGAGAAGTAGATAATCATTGGAAGAAACTCTAGTCAGCAAGTAGAGAAGTACATAATCACTGGAAGAACCTGGAGTCAGCAAGTAGAGAAGTAGATAATCACTGGAAGAACCTGGAGTCAGCAAGTAGAGAAGTAGATAATCACTGGAAGAACCTGGAGTCAGCAAGTAGAGAAGTAGATAATCACTGGGAGAACATGGAGTCAGCAAGTAGAGAAGTAGATAATCACTGGGAGAACCTGGCAAGTAGAGGCGTAGATAATCACTGGGAGAACCTGGAGTCAGCAAGTAGAGAAGTAGATAATCACTGGGAGAACCTGGAGTCAGCAAGTAGAGAAGTAGATAATCACTGGGAGAACCTGGCAAGTAGAGAAGTAGATAATCACTGGGAGAACCTGGCAAGTAGAGAAGTAGATAATCACTGGGAGAACCTGGCAAGTAGAGAAGTAGATAATCACTGGGAAAACCTGGAGTCAGCAAGTAGAGAAGTAGATAATCACTGGGAGAACCTGGAGTCAGCAAGTAGAGAAGTAGATAATCACTGGGAGGACCTGGCAAGTAGAGAAGTAGATAATCACTGGGAGAACATGGAGTCAGCAAGTAGAGAAGTAGATAATCACTGGGAGAACCTGGAGTCAGCAAGTAGAGAAGTAGATAATCACTGGGAGAACCTGGAGTCAGCAAGTAGAGAAGTAGATAATCACTGGGAGGACCTGGCAAGTAGAGAAGTAGATAATCACTGGGAGAACCTGGAGTCAGCAAGTAGAGAAGTAGATAATCACTGGGAGGACCTGGCAAGTAGAGAAGTAGATAATCACTGGGAGGACCTGGCAAGTAGAGAAGTAGATAATCACTGGGAGAACATGGAGTCAGCAAGTAGAGAAGTAGATAATCACTGGGAGGACCTGGCAAGTAGAGAAGTAGATAATCACTGGGAGAACATGGAGTCAGCAAGTAGAGAAGTAGATAATCATAGGGAGAACCTGGCAAGTAGAGAAGTAGATAATCACTGGGAGAACCTGGAGTCAGTAAGTAGAGAAGTAGATAATCACTGGGAGAACCTGGCAAGTAGAGGAGTAGATAATCACTGGGAGAACCTGGCAAGTAGAGAAGTAGATAATCACTGGGAGAACCTGGAGTCAGTAAGTAGAGAAGTAGATAATCACTGGGAGAACCTGGCAAGTAGAGAAGTAGATAATCACTGGGAGAACCTGGCAAGTAGAGAAGTAGATAATCACTGGGAGAACCTGGAGTCAGCAAGTAGAGAAGTAGATAATCACTGGGAGAACCTGGAGTCAGCAAGTAGAGAAGTAGATAATCACTGGGAGGACCTGGCAAGTAGAGAAGTAGATAATCACTGGGAGAACATGGAGTCAGCAAGTAGAGAAGTAGATAATCACTGGGAGAACCTGGAGTCAGCAAGTAGAGAAGTAGATAATCACTGGGAGAACCTGGAGTCAGCAAGTAGAGAAGTAGATAATCACTGGGAGGACCTGGCAAGTAGAGAAGTAGATAATCACTGGGAGAACATGGAGTCAGCAAGTAGAGAAGTAGATAATCACTGGGAGGACCTGGCAAGTAGAGAAGTAGATAATCACTGGGAGGACCTGGCAAGTAGAGAAGTAGATAATCACTGGGAGAACATGGAGTCAGCAAGTAGAGAAGTAGATAATCACTGGGAGGACCTGGCAAGTAGAGAAGTAGATAATCACTGGGAGGACCTGGCAAGTAGAGAAGTAGATAATCACTGGGAGAACCTGGAGTCAGCAAGTAGAGAAGTAGATAATCACTGGGAGGACCTGGCAAGTAGAGAAGTAGATAATCACTGGGAGAACCTGGCAAGTAGAGAAGTAGATAATCACTGGGAGAACATGGAGTCAGCAAGTAGAGAAGTAGATAATCACTGGGAAGACCTGGCAAGTAGAGAAGTAGATAATCACTGGGAGAACCTGGCAAGTAGAGAAGTAGATAATTACTGGGAGAACCTGGCAAGTAGAGAAGTAGATAATTACTGGGAGAACATGTGCCTAAACATCTAACTTTTGTGTCTAAACATCTCACTTTTGTGCCTAAACTTCTCACTTTTGTGCTTAAACATCTCACTTTTGTGCCTAAACTTCTCACTTTTGTGTCTAAACATCTCACTTTTGTGCCTAAACATCTCACTTTTGTGCCTAAACTTCTCACTTTTGTGCCTAAACTTCTCACTTTTGTGCCTAAACTTCTCACTTTTGTGCCTAAACATCTCACTTTTGTGTCTAAACATCTCACTTTTGTGTCTAAACATCTCACTTTTGTGCCTAAACTTCTCACTTTTGTGCCTAAACTTCTCACTTTTGTGCCTAAACTTCTCACTTTTGTGCCTAAACTTCTCACTTTTGTGCCTAAACTTCTCACTTTTGTGCCTAAACATCTCACTTTTGTGTCTAAACATCTCACTTTTGTGTCTAAACATCTCACTTTTGTGCCTAAACTTCTCACTTTTGTGCCTAAACTTCTCACTTTTGTGCCTAAACTTCTCACTTTTGTGCCTAAACTTCTCACTTTTGTGCCTAAACTTCTCACTTTTGTGCCTAAACATCTCACTTTTGTGTCTAAACATCTCACTTTTGTGTCTAAACATCTCACTTTTGTGCCTAAACTTCTCACTTTTGTGCCTAAACTTCTCACTTTTGTGCCTAAACTTCTCACTTTTGTGCCTAAACTTCTCACTTTTGTGCCTAAACATCTCACTTTTGTGCCTAAACTTCTCACTTTTGTGCCTAAACATCTCACTTTTGTGTCTAAACATCTCACTTTTGTGCCTAAACTTCTCACTTTTGTGCCTAAACTTCTCACTTTTGTGCCTAAACATCTCACTTTTGTGTCTAAACATCTCACTTTTGTGCCTAAACTTCTCACTTTTGTGCCTAAACTTCTCACTTTTGTGCCTAAACTTCTCACTTTTGTGCCTAAACTTCTCACTTTTGTGCCTAAACTTCTCACTTTTGTGCCTAAACATCTCACTTTTGTGCCTAAACATCTCACTTTTGTGTCTAAACATCTCACTTTTGTGCCTAAACTTCTCACTTTTGTGCCTAAACTTCTCACTTTTGTGCCTAAACTTCTAACTTTTGTGCCTAAACTTCTAACTTTTGTGCCTAAACTTCTAACTTTTGTGCCTAAACTTCTAACTTTTGTGTCCTAACATCTCCCGGCTAGCAAGCAGTGTTTCTTCCAGACTTTTTTCCCCAGGAGTGGGGGGGGGGGGGGGGCACTTGAAATTTTCGGGGGGGGGGGGGCGGTAGACTTTCTTTGGGGGAGAGGGGCGAACACTGTTAAAAGTATATATTTTCTATAAAAAATATATAAATTTCATTTCGTTCGGGGGGGGGGGGCAGTAGAATTTTCTTCTCCCACAAGAGATACCTGGAAGAAACTCTGCTAGCAAGAAAAAATTTGTTACAAGAAAGACATTCGTACCTGAAAAGCGAAGCATTGACCCTCCATGTTGTCGAATAGAAATTTCGCTCCAGAATTGCTGAAGTTGAGAAACTGCCTGAAGAAGTGGCCCACGTCGGTCAAGAGTTGGAAGATCGGTGTCAGCTTCAGCACGACAGCGGCGAAATAAAACTGTAGGCCGAACCCACCGACCACATGGCGCCATCTGATCTGTAGCAGTGAGATACAAATTGAATGCCGGACACACCTGATCTGTAGCAGTGAGATACAAATTGAATGCCGGACACACCTGATCTGCAGCAGTGAGATACAAATTGAATGCCGGACCCCTCACAAGAACACGTTCGGATCAAATCACAAAGTAGCGAGATAAAAAAAGTGCGTTGATTTTAAATAGCTTTTATTGAAGTTTACAGGTGGTAGCCAAAACGTAGAGGCTACGACAGTTATGTATAGCAAACAGAAGCTACTCAACTCATTTTGGGAATAGATGCTCATTTTGGGAATAGATGCTTGTTTGGGGAAGTTCGGGAAATGGCAAGGTATTTGAAACACAAATCACTATGGGGGGGGGGGGGGGGGGGGCTGGCTCTTGAGGAGTGGCAAGCTTTACTGGGAGCTTTGGAGGAGACGATCAATTGTGCTACTTACTTTATTCGGAGCTTTGGATGAGAGAATCAATTGTGCTACATACTTTACTGGGAGCTTTGGAGGAGACGATCAATTGTGCTACTTACTTTACTGGGAGCTTTGGATAAGAGAATCAATTGTGCTACTTACTTTAACGGGAGCTTTGGATGAGAGAAACAATTGTGCTACATACTTTACTGGGAGCTTTGGATGAGAGAATCAATTGTGCTACATACTTTACTGGGAGTGTTACGTCCCTTACATGTCCCCTGCTTGTGTGTGTGTGTGTTGTGTGCTGGAACGACAGGTACCCTCCCTTTGGTGTATAGTTGTATCCCTTGGTTGAGTGTGTTTACATGGAGTGAGAGGTGTTCACGTGAGGTGTGTCAGGTGACGGGTGTCAGAGCGTGTGCCAGTGTGTGAATCAGTTAGTTGTAGTGTGGCTGTGGACGTGGAACGTGGAACGTGGTGTTGAGTATTGTATTTATGTTGTAGACCCCTTTTGATCCTTTTATTATTTTAGTACTGTATATATTATTAAATATCTTATTATTATTGTTATTATAGAGTGTTAGTGTTATTGTTGTATACGTCGTATTTGTCTGTTGTTATTTATATACCCCTAGATTCTAGAACCCAACATTTGGGGGCTCGTCCGTTTAGCATGGCTACTACCAGGAGTGCCAGAAGACAGCTAATAAGTGACTTGAAGGAGGATGGAAAGCTAATCGGGCTGACCGATAACAGTTTGGCGGAGTGGGTAAAGGAAGAGTTGAGGAGGGTGGAAGATGAGAAGGTCGAGGTTGTAGCAAAGGTATGTAACCCTGTACCCCGCTTGAGGGACGTGGCGGCGATGACGGTGGACGAAGACCTGGGTGCGTATGTGAGGCATTTTGAGAGTCAAGCAAAGAGACAAGGCATTGACCCCAAGGACTGGTCGCTCCTTCTGACGGACAAGATGAGTGGACAACTGAAGACTTTCCTCGTTGAGACGGGACTGAACTTGCATCATGACTTCGAGTCAGTAAAGGTAAAGTTATTCACGCACGCAGGTTTCAACGAGGAAAAGTATAGGGTCAGATTCCACCAGCTAGTACCAACACACGACGATATGAGAAGCTTCGCAGTCAACACAGAAGCCGCTTTGAGAGCGTGGGTCCAGCAGTCGGAAATAAAGGAAACGTTTGAGGACTTGGTTAACCTTTTGATTGTTGATCGGATAAAATCAGTTGTTACTTGTGATCTGTTGGAGAGGCTGAATGGTGCTGCTAAGGTAAGTGTGGAAGATAATCTTAAAGTTATTGACAACTATAAGAGCACTCGAAACGCTAGAGCGACGAGGCCAGTAAACCAAACCCCTCCGTACGTCGCTGCTAGTTCGACAGCAGAGAGGATACCCTGGCAAAACACGACACCGCGATCTCCAGGACACCACACTTGCCCTGGTGTACAGCCTATGCATGGTGTTAGGAAGGTCAGCCGGAGCAGTAAATGTTTCACATGTGGACGTTATGGACACTATGCCAGGGAGTGTCATAGCAATAGTAATAGCGGCTTTACTTGGAGAAATAGGTCAGATAAAAGAGCTGTTGTGGTGTATGGAAACAACAAAAGACCTTATCGGTGCTACAAGTGCAATGAACAAGGTCATATTGCCAAAGAGTGCAGTATGGATATAGATACAGGCGCCTGTTATAGCTGTAGAAAGCCAGGCCACATACAACGAAACTGTCCCAACGGGACCAGTAGAGCGTGCAACTGGCGTACTGAAAATGTACATCGACGGTCAGATGATCTCAAATGTTATTGCTGCGGTGGTGTTGGTCACATATCACGGGTGTGTCCCACAGCTCAGCGTGATATGTTAGGAAATTTTTCCCTGCTTAAAGACTCTCATATGAGAGTGAGGTAAAGCACGAAATTTGGAGGCGTAGCCTTACAAAGGTAGTGTCCTTGGTAAGTTTTTTGTTAAGATAATTTATTCAATCAATGTTAATTTTTCTTTGTTTTTTTTACAGAAGCTGTGTATGATGATTACGGGCTGGAGATGATTAATGTAGTTAAAACGGCTATTGTGAAGGGAACTCAGTTTGATCGCCTATAAGGAAAGACGACCATCTATGGCGACGTACGCATCTGCCGATGGGCCCTTGCACTACAGGAATTAGCCTGTACTGTGAAACATATCAAGGGAACTGAGAACTTTGTAGCAAACAATCTATCAAGAGTGTTTTACGACAACTAGTGTATATGATATTGAGAAATTTATCATTGTTGTAGATAGTATGATTATGTTAAGGAATTTACTATTGGGGCATTATAATGTGATTATATTGAGAAATGTTTGAGAAAGGTATTACTGATGCAGTATAGAATGATTATGCTGATTAATTTTTTTTATTGTGGCTTCTCACATGTATCATTATAGGTTGAGATAGTCAGACCACGAGCTTAGTGCCCGGCCGGAGAAAACCATAGTCCACACTCAGGACCGAAATGTTCAAGCTGGATGCGAGCCACACTCTGGACCAAACTGTCCAGGCTGGATACACGCCACACTCTGGATCAAACTGTCCAGGCTGGATACACGCCACACTCTGGATCAAACTGTCCAGGCTGGATACAAGCCACACTCTGGATCAAACTGTCCAGGCTGGATACAAGCCACACTCTGGATCAAACTGTCCAGGCTGGATACAAGCCACACTCTGGATCAAACTGTCCAGGCTGGATACAAGCCACACTCTGGACCAAACTGTCCAGGCTGGATACAAGCCACACTCTGGATCAAACTGTCCAGGCTGGATACAAGCCACACTCTGGATCAAACTGTCCAGGCTGGATACAAGCCACACTCTGGATCAAACTGTCCAGGCTGGATACAAGCCACACTCTGGATCAAACTGTCCAGGCTGGATACAAGCCACACTCTGGATCAAACTGTCCAGGCTGGATACAAGCCACACTCTGGATCAAACTGTCCAGGCTGGATACAAGCCACGCTCTGGATCAAACTGTCCAGGCTGGATACAAGCCACACTCTGGACCGAACTGTCCAGGCTGGATACAAGCCACACTCTGGATCAAACTGTCCAGGCTGGATACAAGCCACACTCTGGACCGAACTGTCCAGGCTGGATACACGCCACACTCTGGATCAAACTGTCCAGGCTGGATACAAGCCACACTCTGGATCAAACTGTCCAGGCTGGATACAAGCCACACTCTGGACCAAACTGTCCAGGCTGGATACAAGCCACGCTCTGGATCAAACTGTCCAGGCTGGATACAAGCCACACTCTGGACCAAACTGTCCAGGCTGGATACAAGCCACACTCTGGATCAAACTGTCCAGGCTGGATACAAGCCACACTCTGGATCAAACTGTCCAGGCTGGATACACGCCACACTCTGGATCAAACTGTCCAGGCTGGATACAAGCCACACTCTGGATCAAACTGTCCAGGCTGGATACACGCCACACTCTGGATCAAACTGTCCAGGCTGGATACACGCCACACTCTGGATCAAACTGTCCAGGCTGGATACAAGCCACACTCTGGATCAAACTGTCCAGGCTGGATACACGCCACACTCTGGATCAAACTGTCCAGGCTGGATACAAGCCACACTCTGGATCAAACTGTCCAGGCTGGATACACGCCACACTCTGGATCAAACTGTCCAGGCTGGATACAAGCCACACTCTGGATCAAACTGTCCAGGCTGGATACACGCCACACGGTCAAAACGAGGCTTCCTAAGGACTAAAGAATAAGTAGTCGAGCTCGGGCACCAACAGTGGCTAATGGAACAAGAAATATTTGATCTCTTTGAAGAAAAAGAGATCTGAAGGTGGAGGGGAGGGATGTTACGTCCCTTACATGTCCCCTGCTTGTGTGTGTGTGTGTTGTGTGCTGGAACGACAGGTACCCAGTAGCGTACGCAGGGGGGGAGCAGGGGGAGCGGCCGCTCCCCCTCTGGCCATTTTTAGCAAAGTGGCGCCTTTTTGGAAACTTTTTAAACTCAAAGTTTTAAACATTGATATTTGTTAAAAAATTATCTTTGGTCGGCACATTTGAAATGTAAATCTCTGTGAATATTGTATTTGCAATTACCAGTAAAAGGTGTGTGAGCAATACAGTGATCTAACCCATATTTTCTTATTATGTCAAAAAATTATCTTTAATAAACCCTAAAAAGTCAGTAGCTAATTAAAAAGTGCTTGATCTGAAATGTAAGACCGTTATTTAAGTTAAATGTAAGCTATTATTCCGAAAGTTGTACTCTTATTTGGAAAAGCTGGTTTTTATACCAACTCTGATTTAAAAAAGGTTCATTATGCTGTAATACTTTAGCATTTATGATGACAATATATTTAATTCTGATTGTAGACAAAACATATTTTTACAAACGAATAGTGTTAAGGTACTTTATTAGATTCGAAAGTATTTATTGATTTGTTTTGATATTTATACTAAAATGTGTAGACATATATATATTTAAGTAATATTTATATTAAGATATTGATTATTTCCCCTTTTCTTTAGTCTTAATAGATGTCCCAGGAATTATTATGTAATTTTTTTACAAGGATTACAAAACAGATTATGCCGCGTTCATTGTTTTTGGTTTTAGTGTGTTTATATATATATATATATATATATATATATATATATATATATATATATATATATATATATATATATATAACCTTTTGTTTTTTATTCGTCGGCCTACATTGTGTGTTTTTTTTTATTTCTTCAGAGTGCTAATTTAGATTTATTTTACATCATATCGAAGAAATAACATACAGCTAATATATATATATATATATATATATATATATATATATATATATATATATATATATATATATATATATATATATATATATATATATATAGTTATATAGAAGATATTACAAATTGGGCGCCTTTTTTGCTATTTCCGCTCCCCCTACACCGAAAACCTGGATACGCCTCTGCAGGTACCCTCCCTTTGGTGTATAGTTGTATCCCTTGGTTGAGTGTGTTTACATGGAGTGAGAGGTGTTCACGTGAGGTGTGTCAGGTGGCGGGTGTCAGAGCGTGTGCTAGTGTGTGAATCAGTTAGTTGTAGTGTGGCTGTTGTAACGCTTACCTATCTATCAGCCAGATAGAAGGTGAACGTCCCCGGATTCTTTTTTTTGGGGTTATATGCAAATGCCTTACGGCCTAAATGGATGAACACTAACACAACGACACACTAGGGCTCGAATTCGATGTCTAGGGAAAACTAGTGATACTATTGTAATTAACACTCATCCAATCTGCATACAACCTTTAATAAGCGAACACAGTTGTGGCAGAACACAAGGTTAAACTAGATAAAATATTTAATGTATAAAATATCAAAACCCAACTTACAAAATGTAGGGAAAAACACTATCACAGATTTCAACACTGCCTAATAATAGCCACAGGCCACACAACACTGCTATAGCTTCAAGAATTACTTGGCGATAAGTAATATTATACTAGAAGACTAAATCAACTTAAGAAAGCAAGGCACACACAGGACTTAAGTTCTCTCACGTTCAAATGGTCAGAATCTATTGCCGGACAATATGGACGGCTTGGTCGTAATGGACCGTTTGATCCTGGTAGACTGCCTGATCAAGGTGAAACTGCCACGTGTGGCGAGTGTGCGGGGCAGTTAAAGACTTCTGCCACAGGGGAGGTCATCCTCAACTCATGTAGCCATTGGTTGGGAGGGTCATATGATCAGAATCATTCAATCAGATCTTAATGGAAAATTTCTACGTCTTAGACACCCTTGGTAAGACAGTGGAAAAACCCCAGGAGTTACACAATCATTCCATATAAGGTATTATACAATGTCAAAATAAAAATGGAACCTGACTCGACCTAAGTAGGTCACACTGTGGACGTGGAACGTGGAACGTGGTGTTGAGTATTGTATTTATGTTGTAGACCCCTTTTGATCCTTTTATTATTTTAGTACTGTATATATTATTAAATATCTAATTATTATTGTTATTATAGAGTGTTAGTGTTATTGTTGTATACGTCGTATTTGTCTGTTGTTATTTATATACCCCTAGATTCTAGAACCCAACAGGGAGCTTTAAAGGAGACGATCAATTGTGCTACTTACTTTAGCTTTGGAGGAGAGAATCAATTGTGCTACTTACTTTACTGGGAGCTTTGGATGAGAGAATCAATTGTGCTACTTACTTTACTGGGAGCTTTGGAGGAGACGATCAATTGTGCTACTTACTTTACTGGGAGCTTTGGAGGAGACGACCAATTGTGCTACTTACTTTACTGGGAGCTTTTGATGAGACGATCAATAGGACGAAGAAAAAAACCCATCCTGTGAGCGAGAGGATGTGTAGTGGCTTGTGTAGAGTGGACAGTAGGATGATGGCCAGAGCCCCAGCAACCAGAAACATACACGCCACTTCCCTGGGGAGACACAAAACTTGATATCCTGCTGATATAATCACTCCTTTAACATATATATGTTATTGATATACACAGTTCTACAACATATACATGTTGCTGATATACCCAGTTCTACAACATATACATGTTGCTGATATACCCAGTTCTACAATATATATACATTTTGCTGATATACCCAGTTCTACAATATATATACATTTTGCTGATATACCCAGTTCTACAATATATACATTTTGCTGATATACCCAGTTCTACAATATATACATTTTGCTGATATACCCAGTTCTACAATATATACATTTTGCTGATATACCCAGTTCTACAATATATACATTTTGCTGATATACCCACTTCTACAACAAATATAAATGTACGAGCCGACCCGCAGCGTATCATACGCCGCTATTTAGTGTTTTATTTTCTACTTTTAGTAATTAATGATTTCTGAATTCAACAGTACCAATGCTGCCACTGAAAATATTTGCTTTAAAACGCCCCCCCCCCCTTTCCTCTAACCCCGACCCTACCCCCCCCCCCCCCCCCCCCCCCCCGTGAAAGCAGCCTCCTCTTAGTTATTTCTTAGTTACCTTCTGTAAGTTTAAAATCGAACTAGATTATCTGCCCCTAATAGAAACCCGGCTCTACGGCTCTACGATTTGTAAACATTTAGCTTTGTAAACATTTAGCGTGACCACGGCTCACCAGACAATGTGGGGGTGGGGTGGGGGTGGTAGTGATAGTGATAGAGAGAAAAAGAGGGGACTGCAAGGAGGCGCTTGCAGCTTGTTTTCTAACGGCTCCCAGAAGAGAATTATATATATAGATAGATGCTGAGTTCCGTAATATGTTTCATATATTGTCTCACAACAAACCATTTTGTTCACATAAAAAGTGCCAAAATACGCACTAGTTGATACATTCATTTTCTAGCAGCGGAACTCGGCGCAGCATGGGTAGGCCATCTAAAGCATCGGATTTTACATGAGGTTTACAAAGCATCGGTGGGTAACTATCGTATTTTACATGAGGTTTACAAAGCATCGGTGGGTAACTATCGTATTTTACATGAGGTTTACAAAGCATCGGTGGGTAACTATCGTATTTTACATGAGGTTTACAAAGCATCGGTGGGTAACTATCGGATTTTACATGAGGTTAACAAACAAGAGTAACCGAATGCTTAAATCGGATATTTTATTGTATTGTCTCACCAGGGTAGATTAGCGAATTGTCTCACCAGAAAAAATGGGCGTACTGTTTGAAGAGTCCCAAGTCAAGCGCGCGTGCTATTAGTGCCTGGATGCCCGTGTTGTACCGGCTGTGTATGAAGCCCAAGAGAGCGAAGAGAACAAGCGCGGACGTCAGGTAGACGAGCAGCAGCAGGTCCGTTGCCCTGGAGCAGTAGTTGACGGCGTACAGGACGCAGGCTGACACCAGGAAACACGTGACACCCAGCACACTCAGGGCCGTCACTACCTGAAACACAGACGTCATACACAGGCTTGGTGGATCGTACACACAGGTTTGGTGGATCATACACAGGCTTGGTGGATCATACACACAGGCTTGGTGGATCATACACACAGGCTTGGTGGATCGTACACAGGCTTGGTGGATCATACACAGGCTTGGTGGATCATACACACAGGCTTGGTGGATCATACACAGGCTTGGTGGATCATACACAGGCTTGGTGGATCATACACACAGGCTTGGTGGATCGTACACAGGCTTGGTGGATCATACACACAGGCTTGGTGGATCATACACAGGCTTGGTGGATCATACACAGGCTTGGTGGATCATACACACAGGCTTGGTGGATCATACACACAGGCTTGGTGGATCATACACACAGGCTTGGTGGATCATACACAGGCTGGGTGGATCGTACACACAGGCTTGGTGGATCGTACAAACAGGATTGGTGGATCGTACACAGGCTTGGTGGATCATACACACAGGCTTGGTGGATCATACACAGGCTTGGTGGATCGTACACACAGGCTTGGTGGATCGTACAAACAGGATTGGTGGATCGTACACAGGCTTGGTGGATCGTACACAGGCTTGGTGGATCGTACACTCACCCACACCCCACTCACCCACACCCCACTCACACACAACCCACATTCCGCACACCCCACACCCCGCACACCCCACTCACCCACACCCCACTCACCCACACCCCACTCACCCACACCTCACTCACCCACACCCCACTCATCGACTCCCCACTCACCCACACCCCACTCACCCACACCCAACTCAACCACACCACGCACACCCCACTCACCCACACCCCACTCACCCACACCCCACCCCACACCCCACTCACCCCCCCCCCTTCTCACCCACACCCCACACATCACTCACCCACAACCCACACCCCGCACACCCCACTCACCCACACCCCACTCACCCACACCCACACCCCACTCACCCCCACCCCACTCACCCACACCCCACACCCCACTCACCCCCACCCCACTCACCCACACCCCACTCACCCACACCCCACCCACCCACACCGCACACACCCACACCCCACTCACCCACACCCCACACCTCACTCACCCATTTGATCTTACTACCAAATGTTCTGCTGACAACGTCTATCAGAGAATAGGACTCCTCCTCTTCTAACTCCGGGGCTGGAAAGAAACTACATGGTGAGATAACTCTACATGGTGAGATTACTCTACATGGTGAGATAACTCTACATGGTGAGATAACTCGACATGGTGAGATAACTCTACATGGTGAGATAACTCTACATGGTGAGATTACTCTACATGGTGAGATAACTCTACATGGTGAGATTACTCTACATGGTGAGATAATTCTCCATGGTGAGATAGGTCTACATGGTGAGATAGGTCTACATGGTGAGATAACTCTACATTTTGAGATAGGTCTACATGGTGAGATAACTCTACATGGTGAGATTACTCTACATGGTGAGATAGTTATCCGTGGTGAGATAGGTCTACATGGTGAGATAGGTCTACATGGTGAGATAACTCTACATGTTGAGATATGTCTACATGGTGAGATAGGTCTACATGGTGAGATAGGTCTACATGGTGAGATAGCTCTCCATGGTGAGATAGGTCTACATGGTGAGATAGGTCTACATGGTGAGATAACTCTACATGGTGAGATAGGTCTACATGGTGAGATAGGTCTACATGGTGAGATAGGTCTCCATGGTGAGATAGGTCTACATGGTGAGATAGATCTACATGGTGAGATAGGTCTACATGGTGAGATAGGTCTACATGGTGAGATAGGTCTACATGGTGAGATAGGTCTACATGGTTAGATAACTCTACATGGTGAGATAGGTCTACATGGTGAGATAGCTCTACATGGTGAGATAGGTCTACATGGTGAGATAGGTCTACATGGTAAGATAGGTCTACATGGTGAGATAGCTCTACATGGTGAGATAGGTCTACATGGTGAGATAGGTCTACATGGTGAGATAGGTCTACATGGTGAGATAGGTCTACATGGTGAGATAGCTCTATATGGTGAGATAGGTCTACATGGTGAGATAGGTCTACATGGTGAGTTAGCTCTACATGGTGAGATAAGTCTACATGGTGAGATAGCTTTACATGGTGAGATAGCTCTACTTGGTGAGATAGGTCTACATGGTGAGATAGGTCTACATGGTGAGATAGGTCTCCATGGTGAGATAGGTCTACATGGTGAGATAGATCTACATGGTGAGATAGGTCTACATGGTGAGATAGGTCTACATGGTGAGATAGGTCTACATGGTGAGATAGGTCTACATGGTTAGATAACTCTACATGGTGAGATAGGTCTACATGGTGAGATAGCTCTACATGGTGAGATAGGTCTACATGGTGAGATAGGTCTACATGGTAAGATAGGTCTACATGGTGAGATAGCTCTACATGGTGAGATAGGTCTACATGGTGAGATAGGTCTACATGGTGAGATAGGTCTACATGGTGAGATAGGTCTACATGGTGAGATAGCTCTATATGGTGAGATAGGTCTACATGGTGAGATAGGTCTACATGGTGAGTTAGCTCTACATGGTGAGATAAGTCTACATGGTGAGATAGCTTTACATGGTGAGATAGCGCTACTTGGTGAGATAGGTCTACATGGTGAGATAGGTCTACATGGTGAGATAACTACATGGTGAGATAGGTCTACATCGTGAGATAGCTCTACATGGTGAGATAACTCTACATGGTGAGATAGGTCTACATGGTGAGATAACTCTACATGGTGAGATAGGACTACATGGTGAGATAATTACATGGTGAGATAGGTCTACATCGTGAGATAGCTCTACTTGGTGAGATAGCTTTACATGGTGAGTTAGCTCTACATGGTGACATGAGTCTACATGGTGAGATAGCTTTACATGGTGAGATAGGTCTACTTGGTGAGATAGGTCTACATGGTGAGATAGGTCTACATGGTGAGATAGGTCTACATGGTGAGATAACTCTACTTGGTGAGATAGGTCTACATGGTGAGATAGGTCTACATGGTGAGATAGGTCTACATGGTGAGATAGGTCTACATGGTGAGTTAGCTCTACATGGTGCGATAAGTCTACATGGTGAGATAGCTTTACATGGTGAGATAGCTCTACTTGGTGAGATAGGTCTACATGGTGGGATAGCTCTACTTGGTGAGATAGTTTTACATGGTGAGATAGCTCTACATAATGAGATAGGTCTACATGGTGAGATAGCTTTACATGGTGAGATAGCTTTACATGGTGAGATAAGTACATGGTGAGATAGCTTTACGTAGTGAGATAGCTCTACATAATGAGATAGGTCTACATGGTGAGATCACTCTACATAGAAAGATAACACCACATGACAAGTTGATGCCACATGACAAGTTGATGCCACATGACAAGTTGATGCCACATGACAAGTTGATGCCACACGACAAGTTGATGCCACACAACAAGTTGATGCCACACGACAAGTTGATGCCACATGACAAGTTGATGCCACATGACAAGCTGATGCCACATGACAAGTTGATGCCACATGACAAGTTGATGCCACATGACAAGTTGATGCCATATGACAAGACTGCACGACATGGCTCACCGCTGTCCCCTGTCTCGAGCTTGTCAGTCAGTCCTGGGCTGACCAAATCCGACTGGTCAGGTTGTACAGACTCCTGGCTTGAAACAAATCTGGCCATTGGACGTCAGCACTGACGTCAGCACATTATGTGGTGTCCCAGTGTTCAGACTACAGTTTAGGGAAGACTACGTCACGTACAGCTATAGTTAGACTACGTCACGTACAGCTATAGTTAGACTACGTCACGTACAGCTATAGTTAGACTACGTCACGTACAGCTATAGTTAGACTACGTCACGTACAGCTATAGTCAGACTACGTCATGTATAGCTATAGTTAGACTACGTCACGTACAGCTATAGTTAGACTACGTCACGTACAGCTATAGTTAGACTACGTCACGTACAGCTATAGTTAGACTACGTCACGTACAGCTATAGTTAGACTACGTTACGTACAGCTATAGTCAGACTACGTCATGTATAGCTATAGTCACACAACGTTTTGTACAGCTATAGTTAGACTACTTTTTTTACAGCTATAGCTCGACTACGTGTTGTACAACTATACTTAGACTACGTGTTCTACAGCTATAGTTAGACTACGTTTTGTACGGCTATAGTTAGACTACGTGTTGTACAGCTATAGTTAGACTACGTGTTCTACAGCTATAGTTAGAATACGTCTTATACAAGTGGTATTTACTCCACGTCTCGTACTATTTGCCTTAAAGATGCTGACTGTAGTCTGTGTCTTTTTAAGCTAGATGTCTTTTTTCCCTGTCGCCTATAGACTTCGCATTGAAGTGTTTTAGTTTAGGCTGTGCTCAAGACATGGTAGCCTTACTAAAATAAATCATAATTGGATCATGGGTGCATCGTGGTGCCCTCGTAACTCACTACTGGTGCGCATGTAAGGAAAAGCTAAATGTAGGCCTATATATATATATACTAGCTGCATACCCGTGCTTCTCCACGGTGTGAAACTCCGCACTTTACTTTTTGGATGATAGAAGAGAATTATACTAAACATAAAACAACCGTACTTTTGAAATTCTCGTGATATAAATATTTGTTTCTTAAAATTAGGTATTAAAAAGCTTTAAGAGGAAATAAAGAAATAAATAAAAACCCGTACACCAACCCACACTACACCATGATCCCCAAACCAAACCCCACACCATCCATCCTACCCCGCCCTCCCCCCTACCAACACGACACATCCCTCTTCACCACATAGCGTGACCCAAAGCTCACCCCATTAACCCCACGATCCACACCCAGTCACTCACCCCACACCATTCACGATAACCAAACCACACTCAAGCAAAACGACAACACAGGGAGTAAATCGAAACCCACACCACCTCATACAGAATCACACCATGAACGACCAGAGTTTCTTCCAGGCATCTCTTCGGGGGGGGGGGGGGGCGAAGAAAGTCTACCGCCCCCCCCCCCCGAACGAGATGGATTTTATATAATAAACATACACTTTTACTAGTGTACGCCCCCCCCCCCCGAAAAATGTTGACCGCCCCCCCCCCCCTGAAAATTTCAAGTGCCTGTAATATTTTTCCTAAATAATAGTAAAGGTATCCCATAGAAATTAAAGTGACCCACGCTTTTCTTTATAGTTATTTAAATAGTAGTGTACAATTTATTTGCTACTTTTTAGTGCATTCTTACATAAAAGCTTGTCCTGTTATTAAAACGTTTTTATGAATGTTTTTAGTTCATTAATTTTATTCTTACGCTTAAATTAAATGTAACCATCCCTTGAAATAACACCCAAAAAATAGTGATTATAAGAGATATAAAAATAATAAATGTCGAATTCACAAATTATGAATTAATGAAAAGCAGAAAATAAAACAAATAAATAGCGGCGTATGCTACGCCGCGGGTCGCCTTGTATATTTTAATTATGAGCCTTAATATAATAAAAAAATCAATGCAGTAGGAAGTCTTTAGTGTATAATTATGATTTGTATAAAAGCTTGTACTCGCAGCAAGTTATCATACATGTTCCGCGGGGAAAATGTTTTCATTAGCTTGCTGCGAGTTTGTTTTCCTAAACAGTCTATAGCAGCCTATACATGATACAGACATGTTAAACTTAAAGTATAAACGCGAAAAAATGTACAAATATATTTAGTGCTTCATGTTTAGAAGAGCTCTGATTTACTTAGTAAACGGTGAGCTTGGATACGGCGTCCACGGCCAGTCGATCTAACTACCAAGAACATTGGTTATTACAAATGAACATTATTTTTTTTTATATTAGGTCGAGGTCACTCTAAGTCTACTCACTTCACCTTCATTCAGGTTATAATTATAAGTTATATAATTTATAAAAAATACCTATTAACTAAGACTTGATGAAAGCAGAAATGGACGCGAGAAAGTATTCCAGAGGCCCATTTCATTAATTAAATAATTTTAAAATCATGCACAGCATAGATCTAGATCTAGTTATAATTATAATTTATTAATGGTTATAAAATCCTGTCTTGGTAATCCCTTAGTTTAGCGTCGGTTATTATTCCGGAATCGTATAGCAGTAAAAAACAGTAAAACAATACCAAAGTCTGTCACACACTTCCGGAATTCACCGGAAGTACTGTAAACCATACTTTATTTGGTGTCATCTTTAATTTTATACAGAATGTTTAAAATTTAGATAGATTTATTTTTGTAATCATTTTTACATTTTGTAATCATTTTTACTATTTTCGTAATCTAGATTTTTTTACTTGGCCTAGCAGCTAGATATCTAGCTAGATCTAGATCTAATTAATTAATGGTAGCAAATCCGCTGCAAGCAAAAAACATTAAATTATTAGCCTACATTTGACTTCATTATTTATTATTAATATATGTTTTTTTTAATTTTTAGATCTACTAATTTAAATCTACTATTATATTTATTCTTGTTTCCTTTTTTTGATTAAACTTAAAAAATTAAAACATTAATTTACTACAATCGACTTTCAATTTATTTATATTTCAATGGTCAAATAAACCATGGTTTACCGTAACTCTAGTTACCGAGACTCAACAAACATTACCCGATAATTTCCAACGCTAAACTAAGGGATTACCCCTGTCTTTCTGGGTTTTTTCGGACTTCACTAAAGATTGGATGTATTTGATGTTTTTAATATTTTCGGTAACTAAATAAAAATTTAAAAAAAGCAAAAACAATTTGGTTGTCACGTGTAATGGCGACATAAACAATGGCATCCTGCTATTCAATAGGCTGCTATAAATTTTATTTTACACATTGTAAGCGAAAAAAAAGGAAAACTAGGTCATGGAGTTTAAATGGAGGCGAGCGAGTTGACGAGAATCCTTCCATCATGTTGTTGACATGGTATAAAAACATGCTTTTTTAGATTCAGCAAACAAAGTGACCGTAAAAATAATAAAAAATAAAAACTTAAGCCTAAAATTAATTAAGAAATTTTATAGAAATTGCAAAGTTTTGTAAACAAATACTTATTAATCACGGAGTTCCTGTACAGCCAATCAATATTTGTCTTACGAAAGTGAAACATTCAGTTATAACTTAGGCTTGATTAAAATAAATAAAAATGTAGCCTTAACCGCCTTAACCTCAACAAATTATTTTCAAGTTCTCTGGATTTGCATCGATTCTAAAAATATATAGTTTCTGAATTAATTTTAGGCTTAAGTTTTTATCTTTTATTATTTTTACGGACACTTTGTTTGCTAAATAAAAAAAAACCTGTTTTTATTCAGCTATTAGGGGCAGATAATTTAGTTTTTATACGATTTGAAACTAATGGGAGGTAATAACACGTTCTGCTTGATCTTTTCATTGTCGTCTGTAAACTGTCATCACAGATGACTACTTTCACGGGGGAGGGGGGAGAGGAGTGGAAAGTGAGGGTGTGGATAATTGTCCTTCCCTAGCTACTGATAGTGTTTTAAAGCAAAATATTTTCAGTCGCAGCATTGTAGTGTCGGATTCACAAAATATGAAAAATAGGAAATAAAACAACTAAATATCGGCGTATTCTACGTTGCGGGTCAGCTCGTATATTATAATAGCCTAATACTAATGGACTAGTATTTAGTATCATAGAGTAAAAAATAGGCTTTATTAATTAATAATTATTATATGTACATTATATGTACAGCACTAATCAATCTAATAGTTAATACTAATTAGATGAGGACTGGGTGTAATTAATAATTTTATTATTATTTCTAAGAAGTAATATATACTTTTATTCACTCAGCCTATGAAAAATATTTGAAGGGATAGTGTGTTCAGCACTATGCCAAGCCGCCTTTACTTACCCTAACGTGAGTTCAGTGGCGTGCAGAGCTATGTTGCTGCCCGGGGCAAACCCAAAGTAAGATGCCCCCATAAATTATATATATATATATATATATATATATATATATATATATATATATATATATATATATTACGGTGTTAAAAGCGTTAGTAGCCCTACAATTGACGATAAATTATAACACACATTATGTTATTAATCAGAATACGAATAGAAAAGCATTTTAAAAAATTGACTTAGCTGAACTCTTGAGAAGACTCCATGCATATATATCCAAAAGAATGACTGCCTCATTCGGGGAGGGAGAAAACAGTTTGGGGACATGCCGGATGTTGGGGGGGGGGGGGGGGGAGGGGCTATATGCCAAGCCCAACAAAAGAGTTTACAGTTTCCATTACCCTACCGGGGTCGGGCTGCGGTCACCGTTGAATTAAATTGGAAAAAAACTAAAAGGTCAAAGTTCGCCATTGTTTATTGCTACGACTGAGGCCACGGTTGATGTTAGGCCTAGTGAGTTACCCCCCTCCCCATCTCGAACTTGAACAATGCTGTATTTTTTAGAAACACATTAGTGTCACATCTCGTGTGCAGGGAAGAGAACCACGGTCGCCGGGTGATTGTTTGGTGGCTGGCGATAGGTTGATTGAGTGAGTCCTCCCCCCCCCCTCCGCCCCCTTGTACCTGGTATGTAAATTTGGGATACCCTATTGTATTCTGACCAATGTAGGTGTATTTTTTTTTTATGCCTGTACTAGTTACGGACCTAAAAAATGCTAGTCTTGTCTCGTACGTCGAAGTAGTCGGATACGTAGGAATAAAGCGTCTCATCTTAACTCGATACATTGAGAAAATATCGATTCTAGTCATAGAGCACAGCGATTTCTGCTTGTGCGCATTGTCGATGTTTGATAGAATTTTTGTATCGCTAAACTTGGGGCCCGCACTTAATGGTCGGCTCTAGGCCCCAAGTATTCATATGGAAACCCTGTGTGGGAATTAATCCAGTTACGGCTACCAGGGTCGTTATAACTCCCACAATTCATTAAATCAACGTGGACTCACTTACTTTACAGATGGCTCTACTATTTATAACATCAGTTCTATTTAAGCGCCCATTTACTTTACAGATAACTCTACTTTGCATTAAAATACTTTAACGCAACTTTTAGTATGCCCTACAATTGATAAAAAATAAAATGGGCACAATTGTTTAAAATGATATCACTACAATCACAAATGTATATTAAAAATCTGTTGATGCTTATTCTTGAGGGTGTCCTTACAGTGTCTCAAAAACAATACAGACATTCTTATTGTTTTGTATATTCATATGCATCAAACCGAATAAATTCTCTTGGGTGCCCCTACAAGTTATCTAAAAATAATACGGGCTTACTTCATCTGCAAATGCCCTTTTAATCACAAGCAAAAATAAAATAAATTATTCGAAAATCGCTCTAATGCAATAAAGTGGTTTAAATTGTTCGTTCAATGGCCAGTGGTTAGAATAAAAGTCATGCGTTTAGGTATATTATATAAAGAGACAGTGTTAGTAAGCACACAATTTTAGACAAATTACAATATGAACAAGCATTAAAGTGATTAAAATTAAAACAAATAGGAAAACATTGACAGATTTGGACACTTTATATAGTTAGTTCGAATCGAATTGTGGGAAAAACACCGTTTTCGGCTAGAGAATCCAAGAGAAATGTCTCTCAAATGTAATAAGAACGCTCAGTAGTGTGGGGTTTAGGGGTGGGTGACAGTAGATGCTTTGGGCTTTGGGGTGGGTGAAAGTTGGGGGGGGGGGGAGGTGAAAGATCACGCAGACTGTGCATTTAAATATATGGCTATGGGATGGAACATCCCAAAAAAAAGTCTCCAGACTCGAGTACTACATTACTGGATCTCTGGCCGTGCCAATAGAGCGTCTAGGTATTACATTACCGGTCTTACAATAGAAGGTTTGTGCCTAAAGTGAGGGGGGGGGGGGGAACAAGTGACAGCCAGCTACACCTTATTTATGTGTTTTTGGACAGTACGACCGGGCGGCCGCGAATGCCGGTAATTAAGAAGTGTGAGACTTAAGGACAACTTTAGAATGAAGTTAACTCGGCCCGGCCCAGTGTATCAAAACAGTACGGACTTGAAAGTTTGTATTTAACCGTACACAAAAATCCAAATGGCCATGAATAAAGAATATCATTAGAATAAGAAAAAACCAAGAGGCTGTGTGCTTAATCAGTCTACGAATGCCGTTACGTCCATCAAAATGAATAAGGATGCCCTACAAACATTATGCAATGAATAGAAACATAATAAAGATGCCCGATAAAATATAAAGCGATCAAGGGCATAATTACTGTAGGGATGCCCTTCAGACATTCAATAATGCATATAAGCATAATAAATATCCGATAATATATAAACGAATATGGGCATAATTGCTGTAATTATATAAACACAAACGTGAATACAAGTAAATTACTTTAAAGTTGCCCTGACGATATATAAAATGAATGCGGGCATAATTACTGTTTGGATGCCCTTCAAAAGTATTATGATGAATATAAGCAAATTACATTAAAGATGCCCCTACAGTGTGTAAATTATAATCATGGGCTTTAATACTCTATGGATGACCACAAAGTATAAAATGATTATGGGCGTGTTCTCTAAAAGATGCCCCTACAGTGTGTAAATTATAATCATGGGCTTTAATACTCAATGGATGACCACAAGTGTATCAAATGTTTATGGGCGTGTTCTCTAAAAGATGCCCCTACCATGTGTAAATTATAATCATGGGCTTTAATACTCTATGGATGACCACAAGTGTATCAAATGTTTATGGGCGTGTTCTCTAAAAGATGCCCCTACAGTGTGTAAATTATAATCATGGGCTTTAATACTCTATGGATGACCACAAGTGTATAAAATGATTATGGGCGTGTTCTCTAAAAGATGCCTCTACCTACACAAGTATCAGATACTCTATTAATTGAAAGACTGCATACATTTATTCGGGGAATATCAATGACCACTACACCACTACCCTTCACCGATGCCCCTTTCTCCCTGAAGGTTGTACGACACGGACAGTACGATGACTATATCAGTGCCATGTGTTGATTGTATATACACATTTCGGTGAATTCGGCAAATTGTGATAATTTGATAATTCTGCCTAGGTAGACAAACCTTAGTAGACATTTAGATTTCCTAAAAAAAAAAAAAAAAAAAAAAAAATTAAAAATTTAAAAAAAATAATCATTTTTTTTACCCCCTTTGGATGCCCCTTTGATGTGGCTGCCCGGGGCCTGGGCCCCCTCCGCCCCCCCCTCTGCACGCCACTGCGTGAGTTAGGTACCCATCAGAGCTGGGTGGACTCAGAGACGGTCTACTGACTTGAACCCAAAAAAAACCATTAGCGCCCCCCCTCCCCCTGATCCAAAAAATAGCGTCACATTTCAACCTACCTTTCCCGCCAAATTGCAATTCCATTATTTGAAACAGGAATTTCTTTTTGGAATATTGTTGGAGCTGGATGAACATTTTTGGCCTATTTATTCATCAATTTTTTAATACAATGTATACAACAATGTCTTTAAAATTGCAAAATATAGCATACATTTAAAATACAATAACTGTGATTTAATATTAACATCTATCCCCCCCCCCATTACACAACATATAACAATACATAAGTTAAATTGATAGGACATTTAACTACTTGAGATGCAGCAATGCGTTGTTGTTTACTGTGAAATAGGCCGACATCAAAATGTCACATTTTAAAATCAATATTTTCTTCATGACCTGCCAACAGATTTAGCCTCTTGAAACACCATGCCTGTCTACATCCGCAAGAATGTCTCTTACACACCTTTGTCTCTGGACAAAGTAGAGCCTGAGGATGACCATGACTTTTTACTGGATCCAGATCAGTTGTGGGACACTTTACCCCAACCCTACCGCATGATCAACAAAATTCTCTCTCAGCTCATTGATTCTGCTTGGGATATCATACAAGACAAGGACAGAGGCCGTACGCAGGAGGCCTTCAGAATCAATGCACCAAAATATGATGACCCGGTCAAACTACAGGTTGGACTCTTTTTTGCTCTGTTTTCCTTTGTTCATCACCATGTGCAAACTAGAACTATGACTATCAGGCTTTATTCTACCTTTCAGATCTACCAGTCAGCAAACTAGAACTATGACTATCAGGCTTTATTCTACCTTTCAGATCTACCAGTCAGCAAACTAGAACTATGACTATCAGGCTTTATTCTACCTTTCAGATCTACCAGTCAGCAAACTAGAACTATGACTATCAGGCTTTATTCTACCTTTCAGATCTACCAGTCAGCAAACTAGAACTATGACTATCAGGATTTATTCTACCTTTCAGATCTACCAGTCAGCAAACTAGAACTATGACTATCAGGCTTTATTCTACCTTTCAGATCTACCAGTCAGCAAACTAGAACTATGACTATCAGGCTTTATTCTACCTTTCAGATCTACCAGTCAGCAAACTAGAACTATGACTATCAGGCTTTATTCTACCTTTCAGATCTACCAGTCAGCAAACTAGAACTATGACTATCAGGCTTTATTCTACCTTTCAGATCTACCAGTCAGCAAACTAGAACTATGACTATCAGGCTTTATTCTACCTTTCAGATCTACCTGTCAGCAAACTAGAACTATGACTAGCAGGCTTTATTCTACCTTTCAGATCTACCAGTCAGCAAACTAGAACTATGACTATCAGGCTTTATTCTACCTTTCAGATCTACCAGTCAGCAAACTAGAACTATGACTATCAGGATTTATTCTACCTTTCAGATCTACCAGTCAGCCACAGCCCTCCATGCCAGTGCTGATGGGAAATACATCTTTGTTGGCTTGCCAAGTGGGCTGGCGGCCATGACAGCCCTCTACCAGGAGGTTGTCAATGTTTGGGAAGATCCTTTTGCCGAGATTGTCACTATCAAATCTTGTCTAATTGCAGCTGATTTTCATTTGATAATAACAGTAGATAATCTGGGTAAGTAATTTAGCTCAGCTATACTACTAGATGTCAAATGTCAAAGCAGAGTGAGTTCCCCTGCACTAACCTACAAGATGGGCCTTCAACTCCAGGTCTATTCTAAAGTACGCTATTGAAATGTTGAACAGACCTAAAAAGTTTGACACACTAGGAATCAGGGCCGGCGCTACCAATAAGGCCAACTAGGGGGCACAAAAATGTGTGTAATCGCCATTATTAAAAAGTAACAAATAATTAATAACTTTGTATATATTAAATAAAGTATAGACAAGGTAGTATTCAAAGGTGTAGCCATCTATTTCAATGCCAGAATCAACTATCACTATCAATGCCTATGCCTATAGTTGGTGAAAATGTGCACCCACCCCCCCACCACCTCCATCATTTTGGAAAGGTCGGGCGCTTTATACGTCACATTTGCCGTTTAGGGGGAGGGGAAGCAAATTCCAACACAACAAAATAATTTTTTTGCACCTTGCTAGACCAGTGGTTTTGTGAAAACAAAACCTAAATCAACTGCAGCAGTGATTGTTCTTCAGTAACTAACACACACTGTCGCGAAGAGAAAAAAACTACATAAGTTGTAGTATGAAAAATAGGCAAACCTTTAAAATACTTCTATGACACTATTCATAATTTTTGTTGGGCAAAAATGAGGTATTTTAAAACTCGATTATTTCAGATCAGAAATGAGTTTCAGCCTATCTCTGTGCTGTTTGTTGTCTTATGGTGGATATACTTCGCAATGAAATAGGTTAAATGGTTTGGTTTAAAATACATTAAGGCAGTCTATTTATATATATATATATATATATATATATATATATATATATATATATATATATATATATATATATATATATATATATATATATATATATAAATAGACTGCCTTAATGTATATATATATATATATATATATATATATAAATATATATATATATATATATATATATATATATATATATATATATATATATAATATATATATATATATACACAATATATATATATAATATATATATATATACACAATATATATATATAATATGGGGGCGTTTTAATAACTTTGCCTAGGGTGCTAAATAACTTTGTGCCGGCACTGCTTGAAATGTTAATCAGACCCTAAGACTAAAGCCATGTTAAATTTTGTTTCAGGTATTTGTCGGCTCCTCCTGTTTGCCGGGGACACACTGTATTTCCTCAAGGCTATCAATGAGTATCCTTCAGTACGTACTACCCTTGTTGGTCTCTGCTCATGTGACTAGTGTGGTCTATACTTTATATCTTATTTATTCAATGTTTTGCAGCATGCTGAGTCTAAAGTTCTGTGCCAAAAGTGTGAGGCAGAAGGAGGCTACCTTGGAATAGTCCTAGAAAGTAAACATGTTCTTTACTCTTATGTGCTGCTTTTGTTTTGTGTTACAAGATACATTTTAGTTTATTTGACATTCACTTATTTTAAAGATATTTGAAAAATATTTGTTTCATGGTACAAACATTTCTTTCATTGACTTGACTTCTTGTTTTGCTTTACCTGCCATTTCAATATAGCCACCATTGTTTGTACCCACTACCATATCAATATAGCCACCATTGTATCCACCCACTACCATACCAATATAGCCACCATTGTTTCCACCCACTACCATATCAATATAGCCACCATTGTTTCCACCCACTACCATATCAATATAGCCACCATTGTACCCACTACCATATCAATATAGCCACCATTGTACCCACTACCATATCAATATAGCCACCATTGTTCCCACCCACTACCATACCAATATAGCCACCATTGTTCCCACCCCCTACCATACCAATATAGCCACCATTGTTCCCACCCCCTACCATACCAATATAGCCACCATTGTTTCCACCCACTACCATATCAATATAGCCACCATTGTTTCCACCTACTACCATACCAATATAGCCACCATTGTACCCACTACCATACCAATATAGCCACCATTGTACCCACTACCATACCAATATAGCCACCATTGTTTCCACCCACTACCATATCAATATAGCCACCATTGTATCCACCCACTACCATATCAATATAGCCACCATTGTTTCCACCTACTACCATATCAATATAGCCACCATTGTATCCACCCACTACCATACCAATATAGCCACCATTGTATCCACCCACTACCATATCAATATAGCCACCATTGTTTCCACCCACTACCATACCAATATAGCCACCATTGTATCCACCCACTACCATACCAATATAGCCACCATTGTATCCACCCACTACCATATCAATATAGCCACCATTGTTTCCACCTACTACCATATCAATATAGCCACCATTGTTTCCACCCACTACCATATCAATATAGCCACCATTGTATCCACCCACTACCATACCAATATAGCCACCATTGTATCCACCCACTACCATACCAATATAGCCACCATTGTATCCACCCACTACCATATCAATATAGCCACCATTGTATCCACCCACTACCATACCAATATAGCCACCATTGTTCCCACCTATTGTTCCCACTCAGGTAGTGCTGAGCTCTGGCTCGAGGTCCACAAGTTGCCTCTGGAGAGCTGGCTGCAGGAGAAGGAGAGTCTTCTGGCTGCTGCTGAGGTAACTTGGCAACACCAACTACAGCATACAGCACCACCTAACAGCACCACCTGACAGCACCACCTGACAGCACCACCTGACACCACCTGACAGCACCACCTGACAGCACCACCTGACAGCACCACCAAACAGCACCACCTCACAGCACCACCAAACAGCACCACCTGACACCACCTGACAGCATCACATGACAGCATCACCTGACAGCACCACCTAACAGCACCACCTGACAGCACCACCTGATAGCACCACCTGACAGCACCACCTGACAGCACCATCTGACAGCACCACCTGACAGCACCACATCACAGCACCACCTGACAGCACCACCTAACAGTACCTCCTGACAGCACCACCTGACATGACAGCACCACCTAACAGCACCACCTGACAGCACCAACTCACAGCACCACCTGACAGCACCACCTGACATGACAGCACCACCTGACAGCAACAACTCACAGCACCACCTGACAGCACCACCTGACAGCACCACCTGACAGCACCACCTGACAGCACCACCTGACAGCACCATCTGACAGCACCATCTGACAGCACCACCTGACAGCACCACCTGTGACCTACTTAGGTCGAGTCAGGTTCCATTTTTATTTTGACATTGTATAATACCTTATATGGAATGATTGTGTAACTCCTGGGGTTTTTCCACTGTCTTACCAAGGGTGTCTAAGACGTAGAAATTTTCCATTAAGATCTGATTGAATGATTCTGATCATATGACCCTCCCAACCAATGGCTACATGAGTTGAGGATGACCTCCCCTGTGGCAGAAGTCTTTAACTGCCCCGCACACTCGCCACACGTGGCAGTTTCACCTTGATCAGGCAGTCTACCAGGATCAAACGGTCCATTACGACCAAGCCGTCCATATTGTCCGGCAATAGATTCTGACCATTTGAACGTGAGAGAACTTAAGTCCTGTGTGTGCCTTGCTTTCTTAAGTTGATTTAGTCTTCTAGTATAATATTACTTGTCGCCAAGTAATTCTTGAAGCTATAGCAGTGTTGTGTGGCCTGTGGCTATTATTAGGCAGTGTTGAAATCTGTGATAGTGTTTTTCCCTACATTTTGTAAGTTGGGTTTTGATATTTTATACATTAAATATTTTATCTAGTTTAACCTTGTGTTCTGCCACAACTGTGTTCGCTTATTAAAGGTTGTATGCAGATTGGATGAGTGTTAATTACAATAGTATCACTAGTTTTCCCTAGACATCGAATTCGAGCCCTAGTGTGTCGTTGTGTTAGTGTTCATCCATTTAGGCCGTAAGGCATTTGCATATAACCCCAAAAAAAGAATCCGGGGACGTTCACCTTCTATCTGGCTGATAGATAGGTAAGCGTTACACACCTGACAGCATCACCTGACAGCACCACCTGACAGCACCACCTGACAGCACCACCTGACAGTACCAACTCACAGCACCACCTGACAGCACCAAACAGCACCACCTGACACCACCTGACAGCACCACCTGACAGCACCACCTGTCAGGACTGTATTGATTTGATCAATTTTAAACGTCAATGAAAAAGATATCAATCAACACACAATGCCTATCCTAATTTATAAAAGGCCATGTGCGCTCTTCTCTCTCTCTCTCTCTCTGTCTGTCCGCAAAATATTTTCGCCGGACATCACGTCAGAAACGGCAGCGATATATGCAGAACTTTATACGGACTTTTGTTGAAAATAATATGTTAGATGTTTTAAATGTATAACCACAATTTTAGTTAAAGAAGAAAAATAAAAATTAAAGGCGTATTCGAATGTAGAGAAACAGTATTATTTATGCAACCGGAAAAGCATTAATATATGTGAAAAAGAACGCATAAAACTGTGACGTCACTATTGCTTATACATTAACTAATGACGTCATCTGCCGTGTTTAGAATGAAAAGAAATACTATTTCATTCAAATTTGATTTAGATCTACGTACACTATGAAATGTATACAATACAATTTTTCCGGCCTAAACTCATACAATTTATTTTATGTATTTGGATTCTAGATCTAGAGATTCTAGATCTAGACTAAATCTAAATCTAAATCTACGCAATAACTAGATCTAGACGTAGACGCTAAGATCTAGATTTAGCCTCTAACTTCTCTAAAATCAATTCCAAAAATAAATTTCTATATTAGGACTAAACTATTTCAAGACTTATTTATTTTATACAAAATCTCTGTTTGGAACTGGCTAATTTGGGATAAAAAAATTAATTTGAAAAAATAGGCATATTCGCGTAAGTTAAGATTTTAAAATACGTGTTTCATTCTCCGTTCATTATAAGGTGCCTAAATAGCGGAGATGTTAGTGTACATTAAACCACGCAGGTGGTGCGGGTTCGAGACACACCAAGTCAACATGGTTAATGTATTTTTTTTTATTATGCTCGGGCTAAACTTAAAAAAAAAATTCTTTTAGGAATCTAGATCTAGATTGTCGGGTGTCCGATAGGGCACTTCCCGGCGCCGCAGGCGCTTCAAATTTGGCAGGACCTTGCCTTGGGGCGACAGAACACGGGGGCCGGTTGGCCTAAAAGTCTACGATGAGGGGGTCAAAACTGACATCGACTGACCGGTACCTTATATGAGCTATAAATTTAAAAAAAATGTCCACGGAGGAACCTCTTCATAGCTCTTGAGGTCGTAGACCGACCCTCGGGCGAATTAATTAAGCATTCAAATTCTCAATGTTTTCGACAGCCTAAGCGAAGCTGGGCAGCATGCCTAGTTAATAATAAAATTCCTTCTGTAAACATTCATCTTTGGACAGGAAGAGAAAGAAATGGCTCATGCGGATCCTAGTGGTGAAACAGGATCTATGGAAGGTTCTATAGTGGTAAGTAGTGACATCTCTTTTCATGACAGGTGACATTTCATGACAGGTGACAGCTGACATTTCATGACAGGTGACAGCTGACATTTCATGACAGGTGACAGCTGACATTTCATGACAGGTGACAGCTGACAACTGCTGAAAGCATTGCTTGCTAGCCCACAAGTCTTGACTCATGAGAGAAATGCTCAATTTTAAACTTTTTACTGCCTGGCTAATGAGAGAGTTAGTAATGACAGTTTCAGGGTGGCCACCTAATAAAACTATAGAGGTGAGGGGCCACCTAATCAAACTATAGAGGTAAGGGGCAACCTAATTAAACTATAGAGGTAAAGGGCCACCTAATCAAATTATAGAGGTAAAGGGCCACCTATCAAACTATAGAGGTAAAGGGCCACCTAATCAAACTATAGCGGTGAGGGGCAACCTAATTAAACTATAGAGGTAAAGGGCCACCTAATCAAATTATAGAGGTAAAGGGCCACCTAATCAAACTAGAGGTAAAGGGCCACCTAATCAAACTATAGAGGTAAAGGGCCACCTAATCAAATTATAGAGGTAAAGGGCCACCTAATCAAACTATAGAGGTAAGGGGCCACCTAATCAAACTATAGAGGAAAGGGGCCACCTAATCAAACTATAGAGGTAAAGGGCAACCTAATTAAACTATAGAGGTGAGGGGGCCACCTAATCAAACTATAGAGGTAAGGGGCCACCTAATCAAACTATAGAGGTGAGGGGCCACCTAATCAAACTATAGAGGTAAAGGGCCACCTAATCAAACTATAGAGGTGAGGGGCCACCTAATCAAACTATAGAGGTAAAGGGCCACCTAATCAAACTATAGAGGAAAGGGGCCACCTAATGAAAGTAAATAAGGTTCAATATATTTCCAGAAAACTGTGCGCACAAGTGTAGCAAAAGTCCACTTCTCGACGCCTGAAATTGTGCTAAAGATGGGCAGCCCCAGTCAGCAGATGGCCCAGCAGACTGCACTGAAAGGATTTCCTTGCCAGACCCCACTAGTGGGTGAGTCAAACCTGCCCATCTGCTGACAGCATTCCCTGCAGTGTAATCTGACATACCACCTGACTGACATCGCCACCTGACTGACATACCCATCTGACTGACCTCACCACCTGACTGACATAACCACCTGACTGACATCACCACCTGACTGACATCACCACCTGACTGACATCACCACCTGACTGACATCGCCACCTGACTGACATCACCACCTGACTGACATCACCACCTGACTGACATTACCACCTGACTGACATCACCACCTGACTAACATCAACACCTGACTGACATCACCACCTGACTGACATCACCACCTGACTAACATCACCACCTGACTGACATCACCACCTGACTGACATAACCACCTGAATGACATAGCCACCTGACTAACATCACCACCTGACTGACATCACTACCTGACTGACATAACCACCTGAATGACATAACCATCTGACTGACATACCACCTGACTAACATCACCACCTGACTGACATCACCACCTGACTGACATCACCACCTGACTGACATAACCACCTGAATGACATAACCACCTGACTGACATCACCACCTGACTGACATCACCACCTGACATCACCACCTGACTGACATCACCACCTGACTGACATCACCACCTGACTGACATCACCACCTGACTGACATCACCACCTGACTGACATCACCACCTGACTGACATCACCACCTGACTGACATCACCACCTGACTGACATCACCACCTGACTGACATCACCACCTGACTGACATCATCACCTGACTGACATCACCACCTGACTGACATCACCACCTGACTGACATCACCACCTGACTGACATAACCACCTGAATGACATAACCACCTGACTGACATCACCACCTGACTGACATCACCACCTGACATCACCACCTGACTAACAGCACCACCTGACTGACATCACCACCTGACTGACATCACCACCTGACTGACATCACCACCTGACTGACATCACCACCTGACTGACATCGCCACCTGACTGACATCACCACCTGACTGACATCACCACCTGACTGACATAACCACCTGAATGACATAACCACCTGACTGACATCACCACCTGACATCACCACCTGACTGACATCACCACCTGACTGACATCACCACCTGACATCACCACCTGACATCACCACCTGACTAACATCACCACCTGACTGACATCACCACCTGACTGACATCACCACCTGACTGACATCACCACCTGACTGACATCACCACCTGACTGACATCACCACCTGACTGACATCACCACCTGACTGACATCACCACCTGACTGACATCACCACCTGACTGACATCACCACCTGACTGACATAACCACCTGAATGACATAACCACCTGACTGACATCACCACCTGACTGACAACACCACCTGACATCACCACCTGACTAACATCACCACCTGACTGACATCACCACCTGACTGACATCACCACCTGACTGACATCACCACCTGACTGACATCACCACCTGACTGACATCACCACCTGACTGACATCACCACCTGACTGACATCACCACCTGACTGACATCACCACCTGACTGACATCACCACCTGACTGACATCACCACCTGACTGACATCACCACCTGACTGACATCACCACCTGACTGACATAACCACCTGAATGACATAACCACCTGACTGACATCACCACCTGACTGACATCACCACCTGACTGACATCACCACCTGACTGACATCACCACCTGACTGACATCACCACCTGACTGACATCACCACCTGACTGACATCACCACCTGACTGACATCACCACCTGACTGACATCACCACCTGACTGACATCACCACCTGACTGACATCACCACCTGACTGACATCACCACCTGACTGACATCACCACCTGAATGACATAACCACCTGACTGACATCACCACCTGACTGACATCACCACCTGACATCACCACCTGACTAACATCACCACCTGACTGACATCACCACCTGACTGACATCACCACCTGACTGACATCACCACCTGACTGACATCACCACCTGACTGACATCACCACCTGACTGACATCACCACCTGACTGACATCACCACCTGACTGACATCACCACCTGACTGACATCACCACCTGACTGACATCACCACCTGACTGACATCACCTGACTAACATCACTACCTGACTGATGCTATATATAACCCCCAGGTCCAACCCCAATGAAAAAAGACTGGAGCGAGCCGCTGGGTCTGGGTACGCAGCATGTGTTGGGTGCTGCTCACATTGAGCGCAGGGACGCCATGTTCACACACAAGCATGAGCAGCTGCTCAGCTTCTTGCCACAAGACAAGACAGAGCACACAGCGTGAGAACCGTTATCGCACCCTTCTACACCTAGACACCACACACTTCTACACCTAGACACCCCACACTTCTAGCTGTAGACACCCCACACTTCTAGCTGTAGACACCCCACACTTCTAGCTGTAGACACCCCACACTTCTAGCTGTAGACACCCCACACTTCTAGCTGTAGACACCCCTCACTTCTAGCTGTAGACACCCCACACTTCTACACCTAGACACCCCACACTTCTAGCTGTAGACACCCCACACTTCTAGCTGTAGACACCCCACACTTCTAGCTGTAGACACCCCACACTTCTAGAAGTAGTCACCCCACACTTTTACACCTAGACACCCCACACTTCTAGCTGTAGACACCCCACACTTCTAGCTGTAGACACCCCACACTTCTAGCTGTAGACACCCCACACTTCTAGAAGTAGTCACCCCACACTTTTACACCTAGACACCCCACACTTCTAGCTGTAGACACCCCACACTTCTAGCTGTAGACACCCCACACTTCTAGAAGTAGTCACCCCACACTTTTACACCTAGACACCCCACACTTCTAGCTGTAGACACCCCACACTTCTAGCTGTAGACACCCCACACTTCTAGCTGTAGACACCCCACACTTCTAGCTGTAGACACCCCACACTTCTAGCTGTAGACACCCCACACTTCTAGCTGTAGACACCCCACACTTCTAGAAGTAGTCACCCCACACTTTTACACCTAGACACCCCACACTTCTAGCTGTAGACACCCCACACTTCTAGCTGTAGACACCCCACACTTCTAGCTGTAGACACCCCACACTTCTAGCTGTAGACACCCCACACTTCTAGCTGTAGACACCCCACTGTTTTGGCTGATTCCACTTTCTTTTATATCTTTTGTTTTTCTATCAAGTCTTAGAATACCAAGTTTCCATTTTGTTTTCCTGTCTATTCTTAGAATTTTATTGCTTTTGTTTTTCTGTCTATTCTTAGAATACCAAGTTTCCATTTTGTTTTCCTGTCTATTCTTAGAATTTTATTGCTTTTGTTTTTCTGTCTATTCTTAGAATACCAAGTTTCCATTTTGTTTTCCTGTCTATTCTTAGAATTTTATTGCTTTTGTTTTTCTGTCTATTCTTAGAATACCAAGTTTCCATTTTGTTTTCCTGTCTATTCTTAGAATTTTATTGCTTTTGTTTTTCTGTCAAGTCTTAGAATACCAAGTTTCCATTTTGTTTTCCTGTCTATTCTTAGAATTTTATTGCTTTTGTTTTTCTGTCTATTCTTAGAATACCAAGTTTCCATTTTGTTTTCCTGTCTATTCTTAGAATTTTATTGCTTTTGTTTTTCTGTCAAGTCTTAGAATACCAAGTTTCCATTTTGTTTTCCTGTCTATTCTTAGAATTTTATTGCTTTTGTTTTTCTGTCAAGTCTTAGAATACCAAGTTTCCATTTTGTTTTCCTGTCTATTCTTAGAATTTTATTGCTTTTGTTTTTCTGTCAAGTCTTAGAATGCCAAGTTTCCATTTTGTTTTCCTGTCTATTCTTAGAATTTTATTGCTTTTGTTTTTCTGTCTATTCTTAGAATACCAAGTTTCCATTTTGTTTTCCTGTCTATTCTTAGAATTTTATTGCTTTTGTTTTTCTGTCTATTCTTAGAATACCAAGTTTCCATTTTGTTTTCCTGTCTATTCTTAGAATTTTATTGCTTTTGTTTTTCTGTCTATTCTTAGAATACCAAGTTTCCATTTTGTTTTCCTGTCTATTCTTAGAATTTTATTGCTTTTGTTTTTCTGTCTATTCTTAGAATACCAAGTTTCCATTTTGTTTTCCTGTCTATTCTTAGAATTTTATTGCTTTTGTTTTTCTGTCTATTCTTAGAATACCAAGTTTCCATTTTGTAACAGGAAGTAGACTCCTGCCCCATGACTGGGTTCAAAGTTCAACTGAAAACAAGAAATATGTAGCCATTGCAGTTTGGTGGTCAGGTTTTTCTACACTCTGCCAATATTCCCTTCTCAAACCAGCCAAAGGTGAGATCATCTGACGCTTGATTGAATTGGTTTAAGTAAACTGTCAGGTTGTCTCTTGGAGTGCTAGATAAAGATAACAACACCATTCTCTTGTCTCTTGGAGCTCTATATAATGATAACACCATTCCCTTGGAGCTCTATATAACGATAACACCATTCTCTTGTCTCTTGGTGCTCTATATAACGATAACACCATTCACTTGTCTCTTGGTGCTCTATATAACGATAACACCATTCTCTTGTCTCTTGGTGCTCTATGTAACGATAACACCATTCTCTTGTCTCTTGGAGCTCTATATAACGATAACACCATTCTCTTGGAGCTCTATATAATGATAACACCATTCTCTTGTCTCTTGGAGCTCTATATAACGATAACACCATTCTCTTGTCTCTTGGAGCTCTATATAACGATAACACCATTCTCTTGTCTCTTGGAGCTCTATATAACGATAACACCATTCTCTTGTCTCTTGGAGCTCTATATAACGATAACACCATTCTCTTGTCTCTTCCCAGACTTGGAGTTGACCCCTGACCTAGTGTGGCCCCTGACGAGTCCCATCACGTGTACAGCGGTCAGCCCATGTACCAGTCACCTGGCCATTGGCTGCAAGAATGGCAACATTGTCTTGTGGGACAGGACCCTGGGTCAGTTGTTGCACAGTTGCTGCACAGTTGTTGCACAGTTGATGCACAGTTGTTGCACAGTTGCTTTCTCTAATGTTATGACTGATGTTTTAGCCTAAGATGACTGATGTTTTAGCCTAAGATGACTGATGTTATGACTGATGTTTTAGCCTAAGATGACTGATGTTTTAGCCTAAGATGACTGATGTTATGACTGATGTTTTAGCCTAAGATGACTGATGTTTTAGCCTAAGATGACTGATGTTATGACTGATGTTTTAGCCTAAGATGACTGATGTTATGACTGATGTTTTAGCCTAAGATGACTGATGTTATGACTGATGTTTTAGCCTAAGATGACTGATGTATTTGTGTACAGGCCTGCTGAAGGCTGTTGTAAGTGGGAGCTGTGACAGTGAGATCAAAAGTCTGAGATTCCTCAACCCTGCGCTGTTCCCCTCTGAAATTTCCTCCGAGACGTATTCGCTGAGCTCTGCCACATTCCTGCTGGCCGAGTGCTGCAAGGGCTCCCAGATGTTGTATGACACATGTCATGGCAGTCAGCAGATTCCTCGCTGTCTCAGCACAAAGTAAATGCTGTTTATCTTTTTCTCATGTTGACATTAGTACGCTGTACATCATACTTTTGACATGTGACACTAGTCCACTGTACACACTTTGTCATGTTGACATTAGTACGCTGTACATCATACTTTTGACATGTGACACTAGTCCACTGTACACACTTTGTCATGTTGACATTAGTACGCTGTACATCATACTTTTGACATGTGACACTAGTCCACTGTACACACTTTGTCATGTTGACATTAGTACGCTGTACATCATACTTTTGACATGTGACACTAGTCCACTGTACACACTTTGTCATGTTGACATTAGTACGCTGTACATCATACTTTTGACATGTGACACTAGTCCACTGTACACACTTTGTCATGTTGACATTAGTACGCTGTACATCATACTTTTGACATGTGACACTAGTCCACTGTACACACTTTGTCATGTTGACATTATTCCAGGACATTCTAGATATTTTTCAATGACAACACAAGATTCTCTCATTTTAATCTACATAGATATTAAAATAGTCATAAAAAATTATGAAATGATACTATGGTCAATAACATAAAAAGGTGTAGCAATTACTTGAACAGTCTAGTAATTATATTCATTGTCAGCACCCCCCCCCCCCCCACACACACAGAGACAGAAATAAAAACTTTAGAAGCAAATATTTTTAGTAGTGTGTACTACTGAAACAACAACGTATTGGTAGTAAATGTTTTAACTTTTAGCACATTTTAATAGCGGGTTATTGCGAATGTTAAATTTGTTTAAAATGATGACAATAGTCGATGGCACACCTCTTGGACATGTTGACAAGAATTCTGGGTAATGTTTTTATCTGATGACAGTAGGTTAGCTTCTTTTTTTTACGATAGCTTATGTGATAATAACTTAGGGCTGTTTTTGTACGTGATGAAAACAACAGAGACGTGACTAATCTTACTGCCAGCTAAAGTGTTCTGCCACATAAATATTAATTATGCATAAGTTGTGTGTACATTTTTGTCTGATTATTGATAAACCATGGAATTCTACAATGTTGAATCATCTGTCTAGCCATTCAACTCCACTTTTTGTTTAGGCCGGATAATGAAGAAGAGACACAGACAATTCTTCAAGTGCTGCCTCAACTGCCTGACCTTGTGAGTGATCTCATAACTACCAGATAGGTTTACTTGTCTTTAACTACCAGATAGGTTTACTTGTCTTTAACTACCAGATAGGTTTACTTGTCTTTAAATACCAGATAGGTTTACTTGTCTTTAACTACCAGATAGGTTTACTTGTCTTTAACTACCAGATAGGTTTACTTGTCTTTAACTACCAGATAGGTTTACTTGTCTTTAAATACCAGATAGGTTTACTTGTCTTTAACTACCAGATAGGTTTACTTGTCTTTAAATACCAGATAGGTTTACTTGTCTTTAACTACCAGATAGGTTTACTTGTCTTTAACTACCAGATAGGTTTACTTGTCTTTAACTACCAGATAGGTTTACTTGTCTTTAAATACCAGATAGGTTTACTTGTCTTTAACTACCAGATAGGTTTACTTGTCTTTAACTACCAGATAGGTTTACTTGTCTTTAACTACCAGATAGGTTTACTTGTCTTTAACTACCAGATAGGTTTACTTGTCTTTAAATACCAGATAGGTTTACTTGTCTTTAACTACCAGATAGGTTTACTTGTCTTTAACTACCAGATAGGTTTACTTGTCTTTAACTACCAGATAGGTTTACTTGTCTTTAACTACCAGATAGGTTTACTTGTCTTTAACTACCAGATAGGTTTACTTGTCTTTAACTACCAGATAGGTTTACTTGTCTTTAACTACCAGATAGGTTTACTTGTCTTTAACTACCAGATAGGTTTACTTGTCTTTAACTACCAGATAGGTTTACTTGTCTTTAACTACCAGATAGGTTTACTTATCTTTAACTACCAGATAGGTTTACTTGTCTTTAACTACCAGATAGGTTTACTTGTCTTTAACTACCAGATAGGTTTACTTGTCTTTAACTACCAGATAGGTTTACTTGTCTTTAACTACCAGATAGGTTTACTTGTCTTTAACTACCAGATAGGTTTACTTGTCTTTAACTACCAGATAGGTTTACTTGTCTTAAACTACAAACTGGCTTGAGAGATTATAGTTATAAAATGGTGTCATTTGTTGAGAGATTTATAAGATGGTGTCATGTTTGGCCAGCTTCTATATGTTGAGAGATTTATAAGATGGTGTCATGTTTGGCCAGCTTCTATATGTTGAGAGATTTATAAGATGGTGTCATGTTTGGCCAGCTTCTATATGTTGAGAGATTTATAAGATGGTGTCATGTTTGGCCAGCTTCTATATGTTGAGAGAAATGGCCGCCTATTCATCAAAGACATCTGCAGTGGGGAGACAGTGGCCCAGATGGCGCTGCCTACTTCCTATCATCTACAGTCTCCATGGGAACCAGTTTATGCCGTGGGGGCTGGAGGACAAATTTTGTATGTCAAAGGTAGGTTTCATCAGCTGTTTATGTCAAAGGTAGGTTTCATCAGCTGTTTATGTCAAAGGTAGGTTTCATCAGCTGTTTATGTCAAAGGTAGGTTTCATCAGCTGTTTATGTCAAAGGTAGGTTTCATCAGCTGTTTATGTCAATGGTAGGTTTCATCAGCTGTTTATGTCAAAGGTAGGTTTCATCAGCTGTTTATGTCAAAGGTAGGTTTCATCAGCTGTTTATGTCAAAGGTAGGTTTCATCAGCTGTTTATGTCAAAGGTAGGTTTCATCAGCTTTTTATGTCAAAGGTAGGTTTCATCAGCTGTTTATGTCAAAGGTAGGTTTCATCAGCTGTTTATGTCAAAGGTAGGTTTCATCAGCTGTTTATGTCAAAGGTAGGTTTCATCAGCTTTTTATGTCAAAGGTAGGTTTCATCAGCTGTTTATGTCAAAGGTAGGTTTCATCAGCTGTTTATGTCAATGGTAGGTTTCATCAGCTGTTTATGTCAAAGGTAGGTTTCATCAGCTGTTTATGTCAAAGGTAGGTTTCATCAGCTGTTTATGTCAAAGGTAGGTTTCATCAGCTGTTTATGTCAAAGGTAGGTTTCATCAGCTGTTTATGTCAAAGGTAGGTTTCATCAGCTGTTTATGTCAATGGTAGGTTTCATCAGCTGTTTATGTCAATGGTAGGTTTCATCAGCTGTTTATGTCAAAGGTAGGTTTCATCAGCTGTTTATGTCAAAGGTAGGTTTCATCAGCTGTTTATGTCAAAGGTAGGTTTCATCAGCTGTTTATGTCAAAGGTAGGTTTCATCAGCTGTTTATGTCAAAGGTAGGTTTCATCAGCTGTTTATGTCAAAGGTAGGTTTCATCAGCTGTTTATGTCAAAGGTAGGTTTCATCAGCTGTTTATGTCAAAGGTAGGTTTCATCAGCTGTTTATGTCAAATGTAGGTTGTATCAGGTCTTTAGTCGTATGTATCTCCTGTCCTTATTTCAGCTGAAGGAACCAACAAGACAGAAGATGGCGCCACTGAAGACACCTCAGCCATATTTATCTATCTCCTGCGCTCCTACCCCCCCTTGGATCCCTACTGGAGTAATTACAAGGGGAGCAAACCCTTAGCAGTCTACACCACACAGGAAGAAAGGATCAACACTCTCTTTGCTAGGAGGTTAGTTTGAGCTGCTTGCAGTTGCCCTAGAGCACGGGTTCCCAACCTGGGGGTCGCGAAGGTCTTTCTGGGGGGTCGCCAACTGGTATGCTAAACCTTAGTAATTTGAAACAAAACATAAATATTTAGAAGAATTTTTGAAATTCGGCTTCATTAACATCACTGGAAATGTAATAGAGAAGAAACAAAGCGCACTGTACAAAGTTGTTCTCAGTCACGAATCTATGAAATCTTCAAAACTAAAACACCATTTGAGACGAGTCATTCGGAACACACCAAAAAATATATGGAGTTCTTTCATCGGTAAGAAGCTAGTTGCAAACGCCAGAGACTTGATCGAACAGGAAGTTTTCACCAGCATTAGTGCAAGCATCAAATGAAGTCGCGATAGAAAATGCCAAGCAAAAAAAAAAACAAAAAAAAAAAAAAAAACAATAGGATAAAATCTCATCAAACGCTGCATGTACGTAAAAGTGAAATAACACATTTTTATCGAAATTAAGCTTTCACCATTGTTTGCTTTTCAAGTTGATAAATCAACAGATGTGAGTTCGTGTTCACAGTTGCTGGTCTGTGTCTATATTCATGCGGATTATAGCAAAGAAGGGTTGCTCTTTTGTGAAGATAGCATGGAGAAAATAAATACCTTTTTTGAAACGGGATGAATAAAATGGATTAGAACGGTTGTGGGGGTTTGTACGGATGGTGCGCCTTCTATGTTTAGCTCAAAATCGGGCTTTCAGAAAACAGAAAAGATTTAGCTCCCTAACCACTGCCCTAACCAATCGACATCAAGAGTCCATTGCTAGTATAAGTCGTAAATTATATAAAATCTGGAGCCTTCAAAGAACTGAGCAAAAACATCAATATAGATCACGAGGTTCTGCTCTTCTACACTACAGTACGCTGGCTGTCAAACAAAATGTTGTAAATTGTGTTTTTCAATTGAAATCTGAAATGAAATTGTTCTTGAAAGTGCAAAGGAAAAAAGACTTTTTGGTATACTCAAAACGACATAGAGTGGTTGGAGAGAGTATCATACCTAGCAGATGTGTTCGAACATCAAGATAAGCTTAACTTGAAGCTTCAGGGAAAATGAACGAATATTATAACTTTCCATGATAATCTCGGGGCATTTTTATCAAAGCTGCAAAATCGGTAAAGAAAATGAATCTTGGAAATATTGTAAATTTGAGAAACTCTGCGGTGTGGTAGATGTATCTGATTGTGAGATAATTAAAATTTTGAAAGAATTAATTTCTGGGCATCTTGAATCTCTTGAAAACGAACTGTATTGAAAGTCTACTCGAGAATCTTATTTTAGTGCTTATTAATTTCCATACGAATTTCGTTTTTTTTAATTCAGGGGGGGGGGGGGTCGCGGGTCACTTACTTTTTATAAAAGGGGGTCGCCACTCGAAAAAGGTTGGGAACCACTGCCCTAGAGGATTTACTTTTTGATTGACATTTTTCATTTGCATTTGGTTCACATAAAACCATTTTTATAAAAGGTTCTAAAACTTGGAATTGAGTAAAGTAAGAAATGTATCTTGCAATAGGGTCGGTCATATTCTAGTTTTATATATCAACTAGGCAATGCAATAGGGTCATGTTCTAGTTTTATATATCAACTAGGCAATGCAATAGGGTCATGTTCTAGTTTTATATATCAACTAGGCAATGCAATAGGGTCATGTTCTAGTTTTATATATCAACTAGGCAATGCAATAGGGTCATGTTCTAGTTTTATATATCAACTAGGCAATGCAATAGGGTCATGTTCTAGTTTTATATATCAACTAGGCAATGCAATAGGGTCATGTTCTAGTTTAATATATCAACTAGGCAATGCAATAGGGTCATGTTCTAGTTTTATATATCAACTAGGCAATGCAATAGGGTCATGTTCTAGTTTTATATATCAACTAGGCAATGCAATAGGGTCATGTTCTAGTTTTATATATCAACTAGGCAATGCAATAGGGTCATGTTCTAGTTTTATATATCAACTAGGCAATGCAATAGGGTCATGTTCTAGTTTTATATATCAACTAGGCAATGCAATAGGGTCATGTTCTAGTTTTATATATCAACTAGGCAATGCAATAGGGTCATGTTCTAGTTTTATATATCAACTAGGCAATGCAATAGGGTCATGTTCTAGTTTAATATATCAACTAGGCAATGCAATAGGGTCATGTTCTAGTTTTATATATCAACTAGGCAATGCAATAGGGTCATGTTCTAGTTTTATATATCAACTAGGCAATGCAATAGGGTCATGTTCTAGTTTTATATATCAACTAGACAATGCAATAGGGTCATGTTCTAGTTTTATATATCAACTAGGCAATGCAATAGGGTCATGTTCTAGTTTAATATATCAACTAGGCAATGCAATAGGGTCATGTTCTAGTTTAATATATCAACTAGGCAATGCAATAGGGTCATGTTCTAGTTTTATATATCAACTAGGCAATGCAATAGGGTCATGTTCTAGTTTTATATATCAACTAGGCAATGCAATAGGGTCATGTTCTAGTTTTATATATCAACTAGGCAATGCAATAGGGTCATGTTCTAGTTTTATATATCAACTAGGCAATGCAATAGGGTCATGTTCTAGTTTTATATATCAACTAGGCAATGCAATAGGGTCATGTTCTAGTTTAATATATCAACTAGGCAATGCAATAGGGTCATGTTCTAGTTTTATATATCAACTAGGCAATGCAATAGGGTCATGTTCTAGTTTTATATATCAACTAGGCAATGCAATAGGGTCATGTTCTAGTTTTATATATCAACTAGACAATGCAATAGGGTCATGTTCTAGTTTTATATATCAACTAGGCAATGCAATAGGGTCATGTTCTAGTTTAATATATCAACTAGGCAATGCAATAGGGTCATGTTCTAGTTTAATATATCAACTAGGCAATGCAATAGGGTCATGTTCTAGTTTTATATATCAACTAGGCAATGCAATAGGGTCATGTTCTAGTTTTATATATCAACTAGGCAATGCAATAGGGTCATGTTCTAGTTTTATATATCAACTAGGCAATGCAATAGGGTCATGTTCTAGTTTTATATATCAACTAGGCAATGCAATAGGGTCATGTTCTAGTTTTATATATCAACTAGGCAATGCAATAGGGTCATGTTCTAGTTTTATATATCAACTAGGCAATGCAATAGGGTCATGTTCTAGTTTTATATATCAACTAGGCAATGCAATAGGGTCATGTTCTAGTTTTATATATCAACTAGACAATGCAATAGGGTCATGTTCTAGTTTTATATATCAACTAGGCAATGCAATAGGGTCATGTTCTAGTTTTATATATCAACTAGGCAATGCAATAGGGTCATGTTCTAGTTTTATATATCAACTAGGCAATGCAATAGGGTCATGTTCTAGTTTTATATATCAACTAGGCAATGCAATAGGGTCATGTTCTAGTTTTATATATCAACTAGGCAATGCAATAGGGTCATGTTCTAGTTTTATATATCAACTAGGCAATGCAATAGGGTCATGTTCTAGTTTTATATATCAACTAGGCAATGCAATAGGGTCATGTTCTAGTTTTATATATCAACTAGGCAATGCAATAGGGTCATGTTCTAGTTTTATATATCAACTAGGCAATGCAATAGGGTCATGTTCTAGTTTTATATATCAACTAGGCAATGCAATAGGGTCATGTTCTAGTTTTATATATCAACTAGGCAATGCAATAGGGTCATGTTCTAGTTTTATATATCAACTAGGCAATGCAATAGGGTCATGTTCTAGTTTTATATATCAACTAGGCAATGCAATAGGGTCATGTTCTAGTTTTATATATCAACTAGGCAATGCAATAGGGTCATGTTCTAGTTTAATATATCAACTAGGCAATGCAATAGGGTCATGTTCTAGTTTAATATATCAACTAGGCAATGCAATAGGGTCATGTTCTAGTTTTATATATCAACTAGGCAATGCAATAGGGTCATGTTCTAGTTTTATATATCAACTAGGCAATGCAATAGGGTCATGTTCTAGTTTTATATATCAACTAGGCAATGCAATAGGGTCATGTTCTAGTTTTATATATCAACTAGGCAATGCAATAGGGTCATGTTCTAGTTTTATATATCAACTAGGCAATAAGCCTGTTTTAAAAGCCTGCTGATACTACATTATAAATGTTATAAAAGGTAAAGGTTCTACATTATATGTACTATAAAAAAGTGAAAGTACTACATTTTAAATGCTACAAAAAGTAAAGTTACCCTTTCAAACAGATAAAGCAGAGTTCACCTTTAACACCAACATCTGAATAGATAGTGTGGTCAACACTAAGCTAATAGTATAAATACTATAGAAAACAGAAAATGATACAAAAAGATACCTAAGGATATCATGAGGGGGGGGGGGGGCTTTGCCCCCCCCCCCCCCCCCTGAAAAATTTTTTTTTTGCCCTCCAGCTGCCCTCCACCTCCAGCTGCCCTCCACCTCCAGCTGCCCTCCACCTCCAGCTGCCCTCCACCTCCAGCTGCCCTCCACCTCCAGCTGCCCTCCAACCCCAGCTGCCCTCCACCTCCAGCTGCCCTCCACCTCCAGCTGCCCTCCACCTCCAGCTGCCCTCCACCTCCAGCTGCCCTCCACCTCCAGCTGCCCTCCACCTCCAGCTGCCCTCCAACCCCAGCTGCCCTCCACCTCCAGCTGCCCTCCACCTCCAGCTGCCCTCCACCTCCAGCTGCCCTCCACCTCCAGCTGCCTTCCACCTCCAGCTGCCCTCCAGATTCTATCTGCTTGACCTTGCCTCCACCAATCCCGTGACACCATCTTAATACACAAATCAACCTAAGCAAAACTTATTGGATTAGCTTATAAAGAGTCTAATTATGTTTATGTTAACAAAGTATTGGATTAGCTTATAAATAGTCTAACCAGCATCCACCAGTAGAAAGTATTTCTCTCCTCCTCCCCCCCCCCAGGGTGCAGCAACAGAACCTGAGGAAGTTCCACCTCCAGACCCGCTGGGGTCAGCTGCAGTCCGAGCTGACCCGCCTGGAGAAGATGAGCAGCGCCAACACGGTGAGAACCTCTGTAAGTCTACACAGGTGCTGCTGTAGCCACCACAGCTTCTACCTCCACCACCACACCCAGCACTCACTGCACGACAGCTCGCACCAACATCAGCGGCTGTTTGCAGAGCTACACAACAGCTCATAAATAACATCGTTACACATAACACGGGCCATCATTACACATAACACTGGCCATCATTACACATAATACAGGCCATCATTACACATAACACTGGCCATCGTTACACATAATACAGGCCATCATTACACATAACACTGGCCATCATTACACATAACACAGGCCATCATTACACATAACACTGGCCATCATTACACATAATACAGGCCATCGTTACACATAACACTGGCCATCATTACACATAATACAGGCCATCATTACACATAACACAGGCCATCATTACACATAATACAGGCCATCATTACACATAACACTGGCCATCATTACACATAATACAGGCCATCATTACACATAACACTGGCCATCATTACACATAATACAGGCCATCATTACACATAACACTGGCCATCATTACACATAACACTGGCCATCGTTACACATAATACAGGCCATCATTACACATAACACTGGCCATCGTTACACATAATACAGGCCATCATTACACATAACACAGGCCATCATTACACATAACACTGGCCATCATTACACATAATACAGGCCATCATTACACATAACACAGGCCATCATTACACATAATACAGGCCATCATTACACATAACACTGGCCATCATTACACATAATACAGGCCATCATTACACATAACACAGGCCATCATTACACATAATACAGGCCATCATTACACATAACACAGGCCATCATTACACATAATACAGGCCATCATTACACATAACACTGGCCATCATTACACATAATACAGGCCATCATTACACATAACACTGGCCATCATTACACATAACACTGGCCATCATTACACATAACACAGGCCATCATTACACATAATACAGGCCATCATTACACATAACACTGGCCATCATTACACATAACATGGGCCATCATTACACACGCCAACACTACACCCCTACACACCTCCTTCACATACCTCACCTTCTCCTCCACACACCTCCCCTACACCACCACACACCTCCCCTACACCACCATACACCTCCCTTATACCACACACCTCCCCTACACCACCACACACCTCCCCTACATCACCACACACCTCCCCTACATCACCACACACCTCCCCTATATCACCATACACCTCCACTATACCACCACACACCTCCCCTACACCACCACACATCTACCCTACACCACCACACACCTCCACTATACCACCACACACCTCCCCTACACCAGCACACACCTCCCCTACACCACCACACATCTACCCTACACCACCACACACCTCCACTATACCACCACACATCTACCCTACACCAGCACACACCTCCCCTACACCACCACACATCTACCCTACACCACCACACACCTCCACTATACCACCACACATCTACCCTACACCACCACACATCTACCCTACACCACCACACACCTCCCCTACACCACCACACACCTCCCCTACACCACCACACACCTCCACTATACCACCACACATCTACCCTACACCACCACACACCTCCCCTACACCACCACACACCTCCACTATACCACCACCACACATCTACCCTACACCACCACACATCTACCCTACACCACCACACACCTCCCCTACACCACCACACACCTCCCCTACATCACCACACACCTCCCCTGCACTACACACCTCCCCTACACCACACACCTCCACTACGCCACCACACACCTCCCCTATACCACCACACACCTCCCCTACACCACCATACACCTCCCCTACACCACCACACACCTCCCCTACACCACCATACACCTCCCCTACACCACCACACACCTCCCCTACACCACCACACACCTCCCCTATACCACCACACACATCCCCTACACCACACACCTCCACTACACCACCACACTTCTCCCCTACACTACCACACACCTCCCCTGCACCACACACCTCCCCTATACCACCACACACCTCCCCTACACCACCACACACCTCCACTATACCACCACACACCTCCCCTACACCACCACACACCTCCCCTACACCACCACACACCTCCACTATACCACCACACACCTCCCCTACACCATACATCTCCCGTACACTACCACACACCTCCACTACACCACCACACTTCTCCCCTACACTACCACACACCTCCCCTGCACCACACACCTCCCCTATACCACCACACACCTCCCCTACACCACCACACACCTCCCCTACACCACCACACACCTCCCCTACACCACCACACATCTACCCTACACCACCACACACCTCCACTATACCACCACACACCTCCCCTACACCACCACACACCTCCCCTACACCACCACACATCTCCCCTACAATACCACACACCTCCCCTACACCACCATACACCTCCCCTACACCACCACACACCTCCCCTATACTACCACACACCTCCCCTACACCATACATCTCCCGTACACTACCACACACCTCCCCTACACCACATAAGCTGTCAACTAAGAATGATTTATGGCCTCTGTCAATAATGGATTAAAAGAATAAAAGAAAACAACTAGGGCTTGAATATTATCATTACTTATATCAAGTTCAATCATGTTGATACAATTGTTCTCAAGTTGATAATTTCATGCATGGGTTTTTCAAATGTTCCTTGTGTTGATATGCATTTAAATGACGTTGATAACACGGTTTGCTCAAATTGATCAGCTAGTGTGTGTCACTGATAGAAACATTTCTGTTGTTTACATAATGTAATTGATAAATATTTTTAACTGTATACTGTTGTGTGTACGGACATCACAAGACTGAGTGTGTACAGACATCACAAGACTGGGTGTGTACAGACATCACAAGACTGGGTGTGTACAGACATCACAAGACTGGGTGTGTACATCACAAGACTGGGTGTGTACAGACATCACAAGACTGGGTGTGTACATCACAAGACTGGGTGTGTACAGACATCACAAGACTGGGTGTGTACAGACATCACAAGACTGGGTGTGTACAGACATCACAAGACTGGGTGTGTACATCACAAGACTGGGTGTGTACATCACAAGACTGGGTGTGTACATCACAAGGCTGGGTGTGTACATCACAAGACTGGGTGTGTACAGACATCACAAGACTGGGTGTGTACATCACAAGACTGGGTGTGTACAGACATCACAAGACTGGGTGTGTACAGACATCACAAGACTGGGTGTGTACAGACATCACAAGACTGGGTGTGTACATCACAAGACTGGGTGTGTACAGACATCACAAGACTGGGTGTGTACAGACATCACAAGACTGGGTGTGTACAGACATCACAAGACTGGGTGTGTACAGACATCACAAGACTGGGTGTGTACAGACATCACAAGACTGGGTGTGTACATCACAAGACTGGGTGTGTACAGACATCACAAGACTGGGTGTGTACAGACATCACAAGACTGGGTGTGTACAGACATCACAAGACTGGGTGTGTACAGACATCACAAGACTGGGTGTGTACAGACATCACAAGACTGGGTGTGTACAGACATCACAAGACTGGGTGTGTACAGACATCACAAGACTGGGTGTGTACAGACATCACAAGACTGGGTGTGTACATCACAAGACTGGGTGTGTACAGACATCACAAGACTGGGTGTGTACATCACAAGACTGGGTGTGTACAGACATCACAAGACTGGGTGTGTACAGACATCACAAGACTGGGTGTGTTCAGACATTACAAGACTGGGTGTGTTCAGACATTACAAGACTGGGTGTGTACATCACAAGACTGGGTGTGTACATCACAAGACTGGGTGTGTACAGACATCACAAGACTGGGTGTGTACAGACATCACAAGACTGGGTGTGTACAGACATCACAAGACTGGGTGTGTACAGACATCACAAGACTGGGTGTGTACAGACATCACAAGACTGGGTGTGTACATCACAAGACTGGGTGTGTACAGACATCACAAGACTGGGTGTGTACAGACATCACAAGACTGGATGTGTACAGACATCACAAGACTGGGTGTGTACAGACATCACAAGACTGGGTGTGTACAGACATCACAAGACTGGGTGTGTACAGACATCACAAGACTGGGTGTGTTCAGACATTACAAGACTGGGTGTGTTCAGACATTACAAGACTGGGTGTGTACATCACAAGACTGGGTGTGTACATCACAAGACTGGGTGTGTACAGACATCACAAGACTGGGTGTGTACAGACATCACAAGACTGGGTGTGTACAGACATCACAAGACTGGGTGTGTACAGACATCACAAGACTGGGTGTGTACAGACATCACAAGACTGGGTGTGTACATCACAAGACTGGATGTGTACAGACATCACAAGACTGGGTGTGTACAGACATCACAAGACTGGGTGTGTACAGACATCACAAGACTGGGTGTGTACAGACATCACAAGACTGGGTGTGTACAGACATCACAAGACTGGGTGTGTACAGACATTACAAGACTGGGTGTGTACAGACATCACAAGACTGGGTGTGTACAGACATCACAAGACTGGGTGTGTACAGACATCACAAGACTGGGTGTGTACAGACATCACAAGACTGGGTGTGTACATCACAAGACTGGGTGTGTACAGACATCACAAGACTGGGTGTGTACATCACAAGACTGGGTGTGTACATCACAAGACTGGGTGTGTACAGACATCACAAGACTGGGTGTGTACAGACATCACAAGACTGGGTGTGTTCAGACATTACAAGACTGGGTGTGTACATCACAAGACTGGGTGTGTACAGACATCACAAGACTGGGTGTGTACATCACAAGACTGGGTGTGTAGAAACAGAAAATTTGAGGTTAAATATTCATCATAGTGCTACAATAGAGTGGTACGAGTAGCGGTGTTTAAAAAAACGATAATCTCCCTTTG